TGTCTTCTTTTTTAGCATTTAACTAATTAAAAAAAATTAGCATTGAAAAATTATAGTTTTTTCTTGGACATTAAAATGAATGTACCTTCGACTGATTTAAAATTGATGACAATTATAAATTTAAATAAACCAGATCGCTTTGGAATATTTAATATATTTAAGTAGATAATAATAATAATAATAAATTTCAAGTACTTTCAAGAGAACAGTTAATTTCCATCAAGATTAAATTTTATTTTCTTATTCAAAGGTTTAGAAATAAATAAGAAAACCTAAATAATCATACAGAAACATACCGATAAAACTGGTTCAGGAATTTTTGTCAGTAAATTACACGACAAATCTAATTCAATAAGACGTTCTAATTTATCTAATTCATTTGGTATATTGTCCAGTCTTCGTTCAGTACCTGATAAATTTAAAACCTAAAAAATGAAGAAAAAAACAGCACAGTAACATAAATCAAAGGTGTAAAAAAATTATATAATCACAATTATTTAAATATTAGGATTTTCTACCACGAAAATCATTATTTTGAATAACAGGTTACTGTCCAAACAAGATTTATTTGTGGAAAGTGAATTCCTATTGAAGTAAACTAAAAAAATTGTTACCATGTTACAGAACTACTTGAATTGAGTAAAACTACCCATTGAACTATAAGTCAGATATTTAATAGTGTTATACTTGCTATAACACCTGAATAATCCGAATTAGAATACAAAAACAATATAAGTTGTGTAATGATTCACTTTGAAATCAATAAAAAATTGAACTTTAATTTATGTTTTTTTTCTCATCAAAGATGACTTTAGAACGGTGTTTCTAGTGGTATTGTTCATTAAGTGCTAACCCCAAAAAACGTCTTCGAGAGACCAGCTTAACTGTGTATTCAAAAAGTACATTTTCTAAATTTATTTTAAAACATAGAGAAAAAAAGTCCACTTTCTATTCAAAGTGACAATAGGTTTTTATTTATATCAATGTGTATCTTAAAATATAATTGATAAACATAACATAAGAAACAATGAATGTTCCTGACGATAAACTAAATTTTGAGGGAGAAATATACTAACACAAACATCATATAAAAATATATTCATCTGTAAGATGAAGATGTGATAGTCATTTTTATTTATAAAATAATAAATTCATCGAAAATGAGACAAAGGAATAGAGTTCCCAGGGAATTAAATATATAGACAAAGAAAATTCTTAATATAACATTCATAAAACTATAAACAGATTAAGTTAGTTACTTATTATTGTAAACAACCCACGTTCCAAAATTGTATCAAGAACATTCGTAAGCTTTCATGATAAGTATAATAATTACAAACTAATTGATTTTATGCGCACTAATGAAGAGTTTGAAGTTAAATGCTTTTGTCAAGTAAGAGGCATAAAGTACTCCACAGAAAACTTTTAAGGTTAGAAAAGGCAGAAAAAACCTCGCTCATGCAATGTTAGGAGAAACTTCTCAAAGAGTTTTATCGCATCATAATTAAACAGTTACCGATTTTGGCAAGTTCATAGAATATCCTAGAAGATTAAAGTGGCACATAAACCTACAAATATCCTTATATTTTGTACTTAAAATAACCTCAAAAGTAAAGCTACTTTCATTGATTCTCTACTTTCACCTTCTGTTCGATTCTCACTGAAGAAGATGGCCGGGGGACTAAGAGGCAGTTAGAAGTCGTTACCAAGCATTTAAGTACTTAACACACCAACCACTAGAGAGAATCGATTTCGAATACAAAAGTGAGTTTAAATTACTGAAGTACACACATAATTTTTTTTAAAAGTCTTCAATTGGACCGAAAACTGAATATTTACTTCAAGTTGTTTCAACGCTGTCACTGATCTAAGTTGAGCATGACGTAACGGATTATTACAAAGGATTAATTGTTGTAGTGAACAACAACGACGCAATTGTGCTGGTAAATTTTCTAATTTATTATTACCCAAATCTAGAAACATTAATTCTGTACATTGAACAAATAAATCCGGTGAAATTAATGCAATTTGATTGTTGCTTAGATTTAAAGCTAATAAGCCTTTAGCTTTTTCAATTCCGTTAGGTAATTGTGTTAATTGATTACAACTAAAATCAACAACCTACAAAAAACACAATATAGAACAAAAAGAGAATAACATTAAAAATGGTATTACTTAAGTGTAATAGATGAAAAGTTGATATTGTAAGACAATAAAACAAAAAAGACATGGTAATACTAATAATAATTTAAATAAAATTCCATTTAATCTTTTCAGTACAGATTAATGTCAACTAGACAACTAGTGTTAACCTAAGGACGCAGATACGATTGTTTAATATCCTAGCTTGTGATTTATCAGCGATGCACACTAATCAATTTGAGGTATTCAATGAAACATGATACTTTTGCACTAAATCAATGAGAATACAATTGCCTATACATATTCAACTTGAAGTGAAATTTATAATATAGTCCAAACAGTTGGACGATCAGCGAAAGTCGATCCGTGGGTATGCGAATTGGTTAGGAGTTATTAACTCGCACAGAACGGTTGTACAATGGTCTCTTTCCTAATTTCGTCAATATTACTTTTGCAGAGGATGATCATCCGTGAAGAAAACTACTTCTAAATCGAATAATCTCCATTAACTTTATATTTTAATAATCTAATTTCAAACTGATTTGTTTCTTTTGTCTAAAGTTTTTAGCAGACGATATCAATCTTCTCATACATCACAGAGATTAGAATTAAGAGAATAGTCAAGATAATATATTAAAGCTAAATTCCATAAAATGTCATACAAGAAAAAAGGTTTCCCACAGATCTTTCCTTCCTTGTTCAAAATTATTCATAAAATAAAATTTTTATGATTTAAAAAAAGCACTGGGTCGATCTTGACACATACTTTTATTGAGATATGGTGACCTTAGTCAGACAGTTGAGTTACCAAACGTAATATACATAGAGTTAAGAGAAAGTGTATACTCTTGGGACCTGTGCGTCGAACTTTCAACAACAATATACCAGCAATCGTATCAAATGGATATGGGTCATTGATACCATGGGTCCTAACTTATTTAATTCACTACGTATGGTTTGAATTTTAGTGATTGGAAAGAGTTATGATAGTAGAGATGAAATTAAACATGTTCAAAAGAAATATCAGTCCCTTCAAATGAAATTAAAAAGTAGTGCTTGATGGAAATGTTCACAGCGAGTCAAATAATAATAGTAGGTAGAAAAAAACTATCAACTGTGAATTCCATGAATCTGACAGTGAATTTATAGCAGATAAAAATTTTACACAAAGGAACAGAGTACTAACTTCAAGCGGTATAATAGAAAATCTCGATCAAACAACACAAATCCAAAATGCTTCAAGTGCGAACGAATTGTCATTATCTGAATGTATAGTAAATATGCTAATTTCAAGTTCGCCTTTGTAACTTTATGGTATTCTACTGAATCTGCAGAATATTAACAAGATCAATCTGTATTATGTAAAAACACTTTGGTTGTAGCCGAGCACAAGTTTATATACACGGCTTTAAGACCACGCATTGTATGATGCTCCCAAATGTACAGTCAAGGGTGTGGAGAGTAAACTCTCCCTCTCAAACTGCTCTCACATGGCCACGCGTATACAGCTACTATCAGAGAAGTCCTAATCACTGTCTTTTCGCTGCGTGATTTTTTACGAAATTGAAAAAAAACTAAAAGCGAATGTCCAGTGCTTTAATCGGGTTGGCTGATACGGAGGATCCACCCAGAGGAGTTGTAAAACTCTGATTCCAAATCAATGGTGCACATAAGCTCCAGGATCCTGAAGGAACAAATGGCGTATGAACCTATTGCTGATCATCGGCCACAATGAAACTGCATCACCTAAGGTTACTCGACTGTCTTACGGATAAGACCTCTAGGTCAAAGGCTCGGGGAATGCCTCCTAAGAAAACTGACTGCTTCGGTTTGGGTGCCCGTGCAGTACTCCAGCCCCTATATAAATCGAATGAAGAAGTGTGGAGCGTATGTATTTGGTGCCTCCTTGTATCAATGTTTATATGTTTTAAATAAATAAACATTGTATGGTAGCTAGTGGAACAGTGATCAGGTTACCCAGATCGAAGCGGAACGGATTGAAATAGAAGGGTAAGGTAGAGCTGTAAATAATGAAATAATGCCTCATGTTTATTGCTATTACCGATCCCGAAGCATATAGAAGTGGCCGAAATGTTTAGAGTAAGAAAATATAAAAGAACAATCGTACCAAATTATTCATGAGAATTGTGCGAATAAACTCTAGGCATCTTCTGTCAGTTACTTAATCATATGCAAAGTAGAATATGATATATACGTCAATCTGTTAGAGTTGCCACATCACACTGGCACAGTAAGATAAAATTATTTCAATACATATCGACAGAATAGAATAAGTAGTAGCAGTATTGGCAGTACTGGAAAAGACTAATTATAAAAAGGAAATAAAGGAATGAGATCTTTGGACTCAAATAGTAGAAGAAGAGAAAGATTATATGCATCTGTATCACTGTGACTTACTTGAAGATTATTACACTCAAATAAATCAGCAGGAATAGCATCTCGACTTGTTAATTCATTTTTACGACAAGTAATCATTCGTAGACTAGGTAAAACATTTGGCCAACCTTTGATAGAACATAAAGAAGTTAATTCATTTCGAACTAAAGATAAACTTTCCAACTGTTCTAAATGTGTTATTTCTTTTGGTAAAAATTTCTCTTTTAAACCGACATTTTTTAATTTTAACCATTGTAAACGGCACATATCTTGAAGTATTTCAGTAGAAGGCCATATTGAAGGAAGAGGAAGGGATGAATTATCATTTTCAGTATTATTTTGAGTACGTCGAGCAACTCTCTGTTTATCTAAAAGATCTTTGTGCTTTTCAAAATTGATACCAGATAGATCTAAACCTCTCAAGTACTGAACAACAGCCATGTTGAGAATAGGAAATTATTTTAGGTGATTTTTTTCGCCTGAATATTTTGACGAATACGAATAACTCTATCCTAAAATGAAATGGAAATTATGTATTCAAAAATAAATAACTGCATACGAATTAAAAACTAATCATATTGTAATTTTAATGATTCAAAGACGATAAATGATTTTTCATAGAAAAAACGATTATTGATAAATTATGTAAAATATGAGTACGCAATGGATTAGAAGTGAACTATAAACAAAGATGGATGATGGATAGCAGTGAAATACAGGAAGCGCGTTCAGTCCTATTGGGGACTCGTCAGCTGGATGTGCCTGCATCCCAGAGTTGGTGTCGGCTCTGGGACACGAACGCCGTATCGTTCGCTTCAGATGCCGTCGCGTTATCCACATAGCTACTGAGTCCGTATAACCATTACTTTGTGTGCAATAGGGTGAATTTTTAATTCATTCTCAGTCCTCAACATCAACATCAACATGGGAGGATTCAAACAAATAATACAAAAACGAATTAGAAGTGAAGGTTTCGAAACTGTTTCAGTAAACAACAACACTTTCTAGACAAAATCCATAAGTAAGGATAAGTTGTCTACGAGGGAATTCACAAATCAAAGATATACCTTAGTGATGAATATAATGAAACATGCAATATTGAACAAAATATATGCTAGCTGTTAATAATGAATTTAACTTATTCGGCTGATTAATAACACAATTTCGAAAATATTCAATGTAGACAAATGAGCACATCCGATAACTAACAAAGTTAAGTAAATAACGAAATATTCGACAATTAGGGAGAATATTATCATTTATATAATTACAGATTAACTGTAATCAGATAACTAGTGGAAACCACAAGTATCGTGCAGCTATTCAGTCCTGACACAGGACTCCTCAGCTCAATAGGTACAAACCACTGAACCGGTATTCGATGGTTTAAATGTTTATATTTTAAAATGAACAGCATCGATTTCTCTATTATTCGAGTATCTCTCAAAATTGCACTTAAAATGTTTCATAATAAAAACATTCGAAATACTTTTAAATTTTAATTAGTTAGCATTATTAGTAACTAATCTTCTCTAATACATAATGATAGAAAAATGAAAAAAAAGCTAAGTATATAGCACAAACAATCAGCATATAATGACAAAAAATTGTTTCACCCATAGATAAAAAACTGAAATGGGTGGTGGTGACACATAGTTTGAAAATAGTATAAAAAGTCATTATTGTACATACATGTATTTGCATGTATATAAGAGCATTGCTAAAATTGTGACCACAATTATAGTAAACAAGAGCCTGAAGTTGAGCTGTTTAGTCAGATAAATATTTGTTAAAGGTCACGTTAACTAAGTATTAGCAAAACGTATTATGATAGAAAATGGGTCAATATGCATATGCATATATATATAATTTGAAACAATTTTCGTACTAGTACACTAACCTGTGAAATACGTAAAGAATTATGTACTTTTGATATTCGTTGTTTATATTCTTGTAGTACCAGCACAAATGGTTCTAGATTCAGAGGACTATCTTGAGCTTTAGCTAATCGACCTAGTGCTTGATTTCAAGAGTTAAAGAGAAAAGGGATACAACAACATAAAAATATCTTCTAATTTAATATTGATAATATTATCGAAATAGAACAATAAATTATTATCAAAGATAAATTTTTTAAAGAAGAATATCAGTTGATAACTGGATAAATTTGAAATATTTGTACACACGTCAAACGGTCTAGTTATTCAATTCAGCAATGCCAAAACAGAATATCAGATAATTGGAGTAGGTTTGGTAGCTGAAAAGCTAATTTGTTCAACAGAAACCCATAAATATATTTTACTTCAGTCTTACAGAAGCTAACATTACAAACACCATTAAAGTAGAAACTTAACGGTCAGTAAAAGGCTTTCTGATTTCAGATAAAAATGAACATCGAAGATTGATACTAATGGGAAAGGTTAGTAGATATAATAAACGAAGCTGTTAGGAATGTCCACCTTGCAAAAATCGTAAAACCACTCATTGATTATTAATATAGTTGACAGTTACTAATTAAACTTATAGACATTTGCATATAATGATAATCCATCACTTTAGAGTAGATAGTAAGCACAGGTTTGAAAATAACTTTGAAAGTTTGGTTAGCCTTTTACTTATTGCTAACTGTTAATCAAAAGATGCTTTTAATTATTTAGGGATTGACAGGAGAAATGTTTATAAGATTATGGAGGAAATAAAAAACATTCGATTATTAATAATAAACTGTGATGAAAAGTGAATGGATATTGATCAATAAGTCGCTAATAGATTAAAACAACCGATCAACAACTTTTTCACAAATGCCCGATCAAAATAGTTTATCTACTAATTACCTCTATTCAAATAATGTACCTCCATTTTATATCGTTTCTTCCCCACCTACCTGATCATACTTAAATAGACGCGAAGGTTTCATTTTTGTCTTCTAAATATATTATTATTGTTGTTAGGACATTGAAACTTTATTAGAAATTAAATTATGAAGAATCAGAGCAACAATCCGTTAGATTAGATACTAGTTTAGTTAAAGTCATTTTTCAACTAACCAATAAACTACTCGACTTTAAAAAGAACCAAACTTAGTACATAGGAACTACAATCAAAAGTGGCTAAGTAGTTGAAACACGTCATTTTCTATCACCGCATCTGAAGTTAAAACCATTCTCATTTCACTCCACTTGTATCGTTTATTTGTATCATTAATCTTTTCTTACATAAACACACATAAATGTATAGGTTTGAGAATTTACAGTAATTTCTACATTGTGATGATCCTTAAAGTTGATTGAAGATATTCAGAATTGTAACGTAATCATACAAATACACTAAACTAACCTTGATCTAAGGCAATCAGTTGATCTTGTAGTTGTTTTTGAGATGATTGTAAGTCACAAAATGCTAAATGAAATTTATCAACAATATCCTTTAATACAGAATATATTCCAATAGAAAACTGCTTAACATTCAAATGTTGACAATCATCATCGATATCATTATCGTCGATTTCATTTTTTATCTGTTCATTACTGTTAATCTCGATATTACTATCTTGTTCATTATTCTCTTTTGAAGTATCGGAATTCAGCGAAGCAGTAGTAACTGAATGGGATCGATCAAATTCAGGAATTCTAGAACCGGGATTTGATCCTAAATTCTAAAAATGAAGCGAAAAACAACTTGAATACAGTGTTCAAGCCAAATTTGAGTTCCATTGAACGCATAATCACCTAACAATTCATAGTGTCTAATCTGTATTAATGAATGTGTAACAGTGATAACTGAAATGCTACCAAGTATAGTAGGATTATTTTAAAAACACAATATTAACAGTTTTATCTGCATGAAACATCCAGTTATTTCAACAAACAGATAATACTTATGTGATCCAAGATAGAACTCGTCTTGTTTAACTCAGCTAGGTACTACATTACAAATAATAAAACACATTTACAACATCCCCATGAGTAGAAAATTTAGTTTCGGACATTCTGTGACACAATGTATTCGCTTCAAAAAAATCAATCATCCAACATTCAGTTTAAAAAATAAAAATCAGAGAGCTACTGTTTGACATAATCTAAGACTGAGAATAAACATATCAAAACACTTTCATGGCCAGAACAGCAACTTGCTATCGTATATGGTGTAGGCAAAGAAAGAAAGGTGTGGGCCACGTACTTCCGTTTCTTATCATACTAAGAGCGATAAATATTTTGTTTTATTGATGTTTAAAAATTTTTTTCGAAAATAAATTGAAAGCATTTCAGTACAATTTGTAGTTTCTACAGGATAAAAACTTAATAAAGGTATCAAGTGATAAGTTTCAGTGTAAATTTTCTTATAGAGTCTTTTAAGCAACTATTATAAACTATTGTACCGTTTAAACATAGAAACTAATAAATGGAAGTTTGGTATTGAGTCAATTAACTATAAAGAGCTTTTAAATTCATGTTTGAAGCGCACCTTATAAGTGATACCATCCACGTGACCAAAGCGAAGTAGGTGAAGGAAAGTCTAAAACTGTAGTCCAGATATTTGAACTGTATATTCACTTCAATCAAATAATTCAGTTTAAAATAAAGATAACTATTAGGCTAATAATGAATCATTTCAATTGATGAATTAATCAACTGACTCCTGAAAAAAAATAAAGTACACATTTTATAAAGCATTGGTGTGAAAGTCATCTAAATAACATAACACTAAACGAACTTTGAGAGAATAATCATTAATATTAAGCTTAAAAACGTTAAATGACAGGAATAAACAATGGATAGAAGTAAAACCTGATTATCAGGCAAACACACACTTCATGCATAATCCAAAGTAAAAAGTCTGGTATAATATTACCAAAATATATTTCTCTAGAAATATATATATATATATATATATATATATATATATATATATATATATATATATTCAGCAATCCTACATGCTGTTAAAGTAGTAATGGTACAAACAATACCTAAAAAACAAAACAGATTGATTTTCTCTTTCCTTTAGTTTGAAAAATAAACCGAAGAAACTATAATTTTTCTGTCAACTTGAATTAACGAAAGATAAACTGAAGAAATTTTTGTAAATAAAACAACACTACTATTAAAAGAATACAATTAAAAAAACCAAAACACTGAGAAAGATTATCGGAACGCTGTTTGAAGAAAAAAGTGTTAACATAGAAACATCGAAAGATAGAAATCTACAAACAAAAAGAAATTAGAACGATCAACAAAATGCACAATAGATTATGGGAAAGAACAATTGTTCTCACGAAAACGATATTAATTAGGAAATCGCATAAAATCAAAGAGATGTGGACAACAGCAGTGCATATACATTCAACCCTGTTTATCACAGTTAAATTAATAATTTTCATCACCAATCACATGAGAGCACATTACTAATTACCAAGTTGACGAGGTCGAATTGGCCTGTTCTTAATAAACAGTAAGTCAATATAGGAAACGTTCTTTGACAAACAAAATGTAGAGTAGCAGAAAACAGCAAATATTTATTCTAACCATTCATTATTATACATCTATATAATAAAATCTAACCGAATATATACAACTTTCGTTTCAAAATTTTTACATTGATTGATGTAAAGAAATTACTGGAAGACGATACAATCCAGTAACAGTAGAATACAAACAACTGAAAAGAACAAATATATGTATATGTACGTGAATGAGTATACTAAATAAGTGAAACTCTGTGTATGCACATATACAATATAGAATTAGTGAAATACACTAGTCTATGTAAATTTCCAACTTAAATAAACACAATTATATTATTGTAATAGTCAAAATAAAATTGTATCTGTTAAAATTAACAGAGGCAAAATAAGTCGAAAAAAATTGACAAGAAATAAGAATTTTCTTTAATTTGATAAAAGATCAACATTTTATCTGATTATTGAATCTCTTATTAATTAACTATACTTATAACTGTTAGCATAAGAAAAAATAAAACCAATTGAAGAAAAAAGAAAAAACCCAATGAAAACTTATGATGAATAATAAGGTATAGATAATGTAAGTTATTATGAAAAAAAGAAACGAAAATATTAAAGAGAACGGAAAATAATAAACAACAAGTTTATTCGAAAACACGAAATTTTTCTTGAATAGAGAAAAAAAAGAAAAATTTACAACATGATAGAATAATCATAATAATAATTTTAAAAAAAAAACGGAATATGTTTGGGAAAACACTTTCAATATTTATCCCATAAATACACATGTAAACAAAGAAGGTATAATATAACAACAGTTAGGGATAATGAGATTATTTCAGTGATGAAATTACTTGAAAGAGGATTGTATAAATGAACAAATGGATGGATGGGTGGAATGAAATCAAAAGATAAATAACAGATTAAAAAACGAATGAGAGAAGAGGAAACGAGAGTAGAAACGATGACATATGAACACATATTTTTAAAGACAAATGGTAATTAGTCAGGTAAGTGGATTTACAAAGGAGAATTAGTAATTACGATCGAAAACAGAAAAATAATAAAAGTTGATGTGATAATTAATCAAAAATCTAACTGTACACGTACACTTACAAATTTACAAATAGTTGAGACTAAAATATGATAAAAATGGATGGAAAAGAAAAGAAATAAAAGATTAAGATTTGCGCAGTTGGAGAAATCATTTGTTGACTAATTATTGATTTGATGTTATTTTATTGTTGGAATTCTGATCAACTACAGATGGTAATGATACAACTGATCCTTTTCCCGTTTGATTTCTGATAACAAGAAAACAAATTGAAAACAAAACAGTGGAAAAACAACTATAACGAATAAATTTCTATATAAAGGAAAACTATCCATTACTAAAATGATGTTGCTATTGGATGTCAGCAATCCGTTGCAGACAACGATGATCGAACACAGAGAGTCGTCTAACATCCTCAACTCGGAGAGACCAGGTTTCACAAGCTTACAGCAAAACTGCTCTCACCGACGCGTTGTAGATCCGAACATTTACAGCCAGACTAACATCACGAAGGCGCCAAAGATGGCCCAGATTGGCATAAACCGCTCTAGCTTTCACTATTCGTGCATTGATCTCATCACTCACACCCCCACCAGCACTTATGCAGCTACCCAGATACACGAACTTCTCGACTACTTCTATCTGCTCACCATCCAGAGTAAGTACAGGATTAGAATCCTGTCAGTCTTGTAAAAGTGCTTTGCACTTCAAAGGTGCAAAGCACATACCATACCTACGGACACTGATTACCAACTGATTAAGTGAAGATTGTATTGATTGGGCACACAGTAAGACAATATCATCCGCATACTCAATGTCGAGAACTTCTCCAGGCAACAGATCCACACCACCATTACTTACATCCATCAGAGCTGTTTCCAGTATGTCATCGATGGCAAAGTTGAAGAGGAATGGTGAGATTGGGGAATTCTGTCAGACCCCATCTGCGACCGATAAGTCGCCATCGGCCACCTAAACGACTCTATTCTGTGCCTAGACGCCCGACCTGAGCATTCAAGTCTCCGGCTAGTACTACAATATCTGTCGGAGGCACTTCCTGGAGAAGAACAGTAAACTGGTAGTAAACTCATACTTTATCGCATCCAGGTTGCAACCCATCGGAGCATAGGCGGGGATGACGAAAATACATCGTCCCTCACATCGGTTTCTTCGCACTTTGATAGAGCTTTCTAATCTGACAGTACATAATCAACTGTTAATGAGGATCCAATAGGTCAGTGCTGCGTTAGTCCTAGCGCTTAGTGCGGCACCAACGCCCGGATAAATACACGTAAAACAGGCTTTTCGAAGGGACAGATGGAGAGCGAATTTGTAGTACATTACTAGTCTTGAATATGGGTCTCAGATAGACAACAGACATAGATGTTAAGACTTTCGAAAGACACAGTTAGCCCTATCTGGTGTCCGACCTGCATTAGCGTGCGAAAGTTGAATAAGGCCAGTTGAATGGTATGCGTGGTTTCAGAATGATTGTTTCAGTATTCATAGTCGGTGGTAAAATTCAAATTTCAACCATTTAGTGACTTGAGAAGCTTTAGATAGGACAGGGTTTCCACCGTAGGCGAGCTGCTGTATAGGTCGAAAAATAAAATACGCAAAATGACAATAAAAGGATCAACATAAGTGATGTAGTATAAAAGAAATAAAAACGAATGTTATCATATGGCTGTGGATGAGATTTGTCAGAACAAGAGTTGAAGCAAAAGAAATTTCTCCAGTTATAGTTATCATTTATTTGTATGAGGACTGGAATACTGCACGGGCACAACCTGAAGCAGGTGGATTTCTTAGGAGGCCACTCCCCGGCTATTTAAGCTAGAGGTCTAAACCACAAGATAGTGAAGCAACATAAAGAGATGTAGTTTCATGGGAGCCGGTTACCAACAATTGGTTCATACATTGTTTTTTCCTTCAGGATCCTGAAGTTCATGTGCACCATTGGTTTGGAATCCGAGTTTTTCAACTCCGTTATGTGAATCCTCCACATTCAACAACCCGGTTAAAGCACTGGACATTTGCTTTTAGTTTTCTCAATTTCGTAAATAATCACACGGCGAAAAGGCAATGAGCAGGGAAAGAATAAAAGTGAATGTAACTCTGAACTATTGTAACTGATTCTGAATCACAATTCTCCCAACCTAAACGCTGATAGATTTTACGAATGATTTCAGATTCCTAATGAAATCAAAAATATTTCATCGGTTATTACTGTTCGACAGGATTTAACATAATTAGCCCCATTTTGTAATGATCAAAGATACGATATGTTCATTGTATTTGAATAACTAAAATTTCTTAAAAAGTATGAATTCAATGAAATGTACAATTATACAATCTAAACTGTTATTTTCACTTAATCTGTGTAAGGTTGAACAATATTATTATTTCAGTTGACCAAAAGTGAGTACGTTAATGAATAAATCCGAATTTGTAACTTAGTAATGAGAACTTAAGTAATTAAACAACAGAGATAAAGCTACATTTCATGGTGAAAGGTAATTAAAACACTGAAACAATTATCATTATTATTACCATTAACATTTGAAAAAAGTTTAATCATTAAACCGCGTAACGTTAGGATTTATATGCAGAATTTAACAGTTATAGATATTATAAAGGTATCTAAGTTAAAATGCATCGAGGAATATTCATACCTATAGCCACAACTTCTTTTTAGTGACCAGAATTTTACTGCTACTCAATTTATAATACTAATTCATGCATATGAGTTTTAGGTGTATTGATTACGTGACGGCTAATTATACCGCCAAGTAGGTCAAACTGAAGCAGGTAGGGTGATGTTTGAAATAGCAAACGTTTTAAAATGTAGGCTACAGGTTTAGATGCGGGAAAAATGGATTGACCCTTACATAAGTATAAACGGATAACACAGTGGAAAACAAATATTCGGATGAACTCGATGAATGAACATAAGGCTAAGTTATAGAAAAAAACGAGGGTAAAACCTACCATATAAATGTACAAGGATCTTTCAGTGCTTAAACAGATAGCCAACATTGTTAATTAACAAATAAATACTCAACTAATATTTTTCTCACAGGCTATGCCATACATACTCCTACTAGGTATATTATCAAAGTTAAATTACGAAGAGAAACTTACTTATGTGGCAACGTTTTGCTACTAACTGGTAAGCTTTTACTACGATCAGATATATTTGAGTTGAAAGAGAGTTGTTCAGTATATAATATTTTTGCACTCTGTATATCAGTATTATTTAGAACTTTATAACGATCACGAATTAATTGCACCATTAATAATTCATTTATAGCTTTAACCCATGCATCTCTGATCGCAGGATCAGATGATTGAAAAATATAAGTGACTGCGCGTTTAGCTGTCCATATAGCAAACCGACGACGGTCCCCATGGAAATGAGGAGTCAAACCGATTTTGGAAAGCTAAACACACAAAAGGATATAAAACAAACAAATAAACATTAACCTTATAAATAAATCAGTTTTGTTATAAGAAGTCTGGTAGTTCCAATAATCTTTAAACAATGTGTCCCATGAGATTGATCACGTAAATTATACTTAGTTCTTTAGTTACACTTACTTAAAATTATGAAGTGAACATGTTCGCTACGATAAACTGGAAAAAAGGACATAGAATCCAGTGACTACAGTTTTGAAAATAAGGTTATTTGTTTTCGATAATGATATTAGAAGACGAAGATTATCAGAACTATGTGATATATTAGCGCAATACATTTCACTCACCCTAATGTTGAGATCACGATTACTCCTCCCTATGTATGTGTGACCACACACACATTTAAATTGGTAAACACAGTGGGATGTGACGCAATCGTTTCCATGTACTTTAGGTTTTGAATGAAGCACGCACCTTGTTCTTTCTTTGATGATGACCTTTGCTGCGCAATAGGTTTTATTGATGACTGATTTAAGTCGTTGTTTCAGTAAAAGGCTATTTGAATCACCTCTGAATGGTAAGGTGATGTAGACAGGCTTTTTCTCTACCGAGGCTACAGTAGGTCTCGCTGAACCATGGACTTTCCATCTATTTATGAATTTCAGAGGATAGCCATTTTCTATTAACGTTTTATTTAACAACTTAGCATCATCATCAATGGCGTCATTGGTACAAATACGGTCGATGCTGTTGAAAAGACACCTTATCAAACCACGTTTGTATTGCACAGGGCAATAACTATAATAACTAAGATATTGACCTGTCCACGTTGGTTTTCTGAAAATAGATCGCTTTACTGTTCTACTTATTTATCTGATTGACAAATAAACGTGATAGGTAAAGTTTCAGAGTTTTAACCTAATAATTGAAGGTTTAATACGTAAACCAGTGAACGACAAGTGAACTTCGACAAAGTGTGAACCAACTGAGCTGTAATTTGTGATTTACAATTACCAATTCATTTTACACTGAATTCTACATAAGTAGAACGTCTACATTTGTTCGAAACAAGCATTTCTAGACATTAGAAATGAAAAGTATGGAGAAATAACTTGAATTTTATGCCTGAATACTAGACGATAATTGCATTGACTTTTTAGTTAACTTCTCTAAACGCTCAACACTAGGTTATTCAACCTCGGGTAAACAATATGGTAATACAACAAAAGGTTTTGCTTCAAGGTTACAGTTAGAAAAGATAACATGTTTAATCTGTGAAAGCACTATAAACAACCTTGCGATCCAGTAAGTTTATGAATATGATATTAAAATTATTCGATTATTCTATCGAATTAACAAAGAACGTAGGAGCACAGTGAAGTGAGAAAATAGTTGTTTTGAAATTTATTGAAGATACTGGTTAGCAGCAAAGTGATTTTATAAATTTTATGATACGAATTAAAAGAAAATTATGGATAATATCTAATCATACTAATAGGAATAAAAGCAATATATTACTAATGTGCTGACACTTACCTCTAATTCTTGTTTAATCTCATAATATGGACGATAAGTAAAAGTCGGAATATTAGTTGAAGTAAGATTATTACTACTGTTTCCACTGCTAGACGTAAGTGATTTAGTGAAAGCCAATAAATTGGATGTCGTACCTAATCCATTATTAGATTGATTGTATGCTGAATAAGTATTTGTAGATTTTTCATATGAATCAATGGAATGATCTCGTGATATATTTGAAATCGCAGAATTTATCATTGTACTTGGATTAATCAAAACAGGTATAAATGAATTGGGTGAAGTACGATATTTAGTGAGTAATATAGCATTAGTAAATAAGAAAACATGACGTTGTTTGCTAGGCATAAATCGTACATCATCACGAGATATCGTAAAATCTCCTTGCAATAGAAATGGACCCAATGCAGATGGACGAACCTTTATGAAAAATATTTGTGAAAGGAATCAATGTAAAACTTTATAGCAGTTATTAAAAAATTTGAATGAATATAGCTAATTTGTAGTTTTTAAAACAGCAATACAATGATACTGATGAAAACTACTGGAAATTAAGTTGAAGCATACATATACTGAATTTGAAACGAAAATTACATAAATAATAAAATATTGATGACATATTCATTCATCTACCAATCAGTTAGTTATCATGTGAAATCTATCTATAATTGCCTATGATCAAGCATGTATCCAATTAGTATAGACAACAAATAGAAAAACAGTGCTACTGAGTAAATTATGACTTCTCTATCATCGTGTACATGAGAGCTCAATACACAGTGGAGGCGGTAATACTTTAAATTCCAATATTATACAATGAGATGCTTGTTAATTTGGGGTAAAATATGATCTATGTGTTAATATTTTTCTATCCAAAGCTTATAATAATGGTTATAATACCAACTATTTGTGGCTACAATTTGAATATTGAATATTTGGATAGGAGATACTTTATATTTTTATTTTGTGTTCTCTCAGTTGAATGAGTTAATAATGAACGCTATTATAAAAATTTGTTTTAATAACCTTGGTTATTCTTGAATAGTTCATTATCTTTACGTACTTTGTTTAACTGACTATTTGTATTTGTGTATGAGTAAGTCCAAAATAATTTACTGCTTAATTAGCTTACTAACAATACCTACAACTTTTCAACATCATCCTAATACAGACATTATTTATCTGATAATTAGGAAATATTCATTAACTTTTTTAAAAATTTACCGATAAACCACGAAGTTGCATAGCAATATTCACAGTTTCACATAATTCCAAAATAGCTTTATGGGCCGACTGTAGGTCACAGCTAAATAATTAACAAACAACATAATACAACTAATATAAATACTACGAAAAAAAAGTTAATATTTGGACTGGTTTTGATAAGAAAAAAGAAGGATTCATCGCCTGATTGTAACACAATACTGGGGTGATTAGTAATTATACAACACGACGTGGTACGATAGTGTTTTGTTTACATATTAGATATATGGAGTTGACTTGTAAGGTTACATTGACCTAAATTTAACGATTGTCAATACTTAGCATCACGACGTATCAACATATTTGAGGGAGCTACCTAGTCGACCTACAGTTGAGCTTATTGGATTAATCACAGAGGTAAACAGAAGATTATTCAAGGTGCAATTAATGTTGATTTAATAATTTTGCAAAATCAGTAAAATTTAATAGCAAATGATTTGTTACTACTTGTCAAGGAAATCTACTTACATTGAACATATATACTTTCCTACTGAAAACAAACTGAAACCTGGAAGATTTTTTTTTAAGGGCATCATAGCTATTGGATTTCTAGGTTTAATTTCAAGGGGTAACATTTTTTTAACTACAATCAACAAGGCATACAAAACAACTTGATATCCTGATGTGTGATTTCATCCACTTCATGCACATTAACTTGAATATCAGTCTCGGGCCAGTCAATTGTAATAAGACACCATACTCGATGAAACAATGACAGTAATGAATTGTTAAGAATTCATGAAGATATTGACGAAAAGACGTGAATATTTGCCAGAGCTATGTTAGTAGGACAGACTTTTGATAAATGCTAAGCTTATATTTCGTTATTCTACCTATGATGAGCACAATGAAATAACTTACAGAAACCCAGAGACTAAACTTTGCTTGAAATCTCTAAATACATCTGGCAGTGAATATGGAAGATGCAAGGGAAGAATAAACACTGCTGTGTTAATGATAAGCTAATGCAACTCAATAACACTATACACGTTTGTGTACTAAGCTTTGAATAAGGCTGACCATATAGTAGAGCTAGGTAATAACAAACTTGCTCATGTCACTACTGAAGTATACAATTAGTTTATATTTAAACAGCTTCATAATTACGAAGAAGCAAATAAGATAAACACGCCGAAATTCAAAGTAATATTTTTTACTTGAACTGATGAATCATGGATTCCAGAACACAGGCTTGAGTGGAGTCATGAAATACCCGTTACCTATCCGCCGTCTTATAATTGACAGATAAGATCGGAAGAGAAAATCTATGATCAAAAAACTCAGTGTTGCCTTATGTTATAACATTAATACAAAATAACTTGGTTTTAGTTAGTTTCATACCATCAATAAGTGGACAGCTAACTATAGTATTTCCCAAAAAATGAGATAATCGAAAAATTACCGGTCAAGTTCATTTGTTTCATGTTGAACAAGTCTATCCAATAGTAAATGATATCGTTGAAAACGCTGTACAGGTGTCACAAGACGAGAACTAAACAGTAATATGGGACGATTTAGTTCAGTAGGTGGGACAGAAGATTCGGAATCATTCATTTTTGTTATTGACATTTCTCTCCGATACACCTCTTCATTGCATGCAGTTAACCAGCTAGAATAAATGCGATCTTTTTCGAGGGCAGCACCGAGTTGAACTGCACAATCATGAAGCGAACAATAAATTGTGTATAAGTCTACCAGATATGGGACCTATAGATGGAAGGCAACAATATAAATTTTTTTATAGCCCTTCATTCCAAATCATTATTTACGTGGAAAAAAAATGAAGCGGACTGGGATATGTCAAATAGAGTTCCTAAAATTGTAATGTTTAAACATTTCTCATGCATTACTGAACTTTAAACCAACCGATTGAGGGAACATATGAATTCTTTCTTTTAAATATCTCCATCCAAATATACCTTACGAAGATAGAATCATGGATAAAGCTGCACTGAATAGACTTTTTAGTATTTTACGGTTTCACATAAAAGTATGACATGTATTGATAAATAATTAAATAAAAGTAATGTGCAATCGACGCAAATACTGAAATATTATCTCAATGACCTATAAACACATGCGAAAGGCAAAGGTTATGAAAAAATTATAAGACAAGTTTATTCATTGATTTGAAATTTTACACGAACTTATAGACTATCGGACATATCAAAGTGGATAGTAAGCGGTTGAACCTACACTAGTGTATATCTACTATAACATATATTGATTACAAGTTTACTTCAAAAGTGCATCGATTTGGTTAGATAACATAGACTCTTTACAGTAGTCCGTTATTAACTAATCATTTACCAAATACAGGTGTATGTAGTTGGATTTGAACTACATAGGCTTATGTGAATGTTAGTGACACTACCCGATTGTCCAAACCGAATAAGGTGCAATAATGTTCAAACAATCAACACATTAGTTAAAGTTTTAGTCCTTCAGCAACTAAGCTAACACTCAATCAGAATATAGACAGGTTAGCACATAAATACTAGAGTACAATACGACAGGTAAAATCCACTATCAAACGAGCCGTATACTAATTGACGTTAATCAATAAAAAAACTAAATATTTTCATCGATAAAACAAAGACACGCAATCACTTGTAAGTTAATTGAGAAAACAAAATATTAGTTGAGAATTAAGACAAGCATACCATGTGAGATGCCCAGTTTTTAATTTTTCCTGAATTTCCATCGCATAATATTAAATGCGGTAGTAATACGCTAAGTAAAAAGAGAGACGAGAAAAAGAAAAACGGGACTGTAAAAAAAAGACCGATTACTAACTCCAATCATTTTAAAACTGACGAAATATTAGTAAAAACATACAAAGAAGTTAATGTGTGACATATATCAACTACACTTAAATTTCTATGTTAAGTAGATATAATCTGCAAAACAACTATAATTTGTTTTCTAACACAAACTAGTATGATAAAGACCAGTGTTTCCCAAGAATAAAATTCTTTAGTAAAAAGATATACGATCGATTTAAGCCATATACAGAAAACAATAAAAATGCTCTATCAAAAGGGTCAATACTAAAAAGCATAGAATCAAAAGGAATTCAGCAAAAGGAAACAATTTTTACAAGAAAAAACCAGGAATATACATCTCGGTGATGTTTTTATGCTTTAAACAGCCATCGTATATACGCCATAATTAGGTCGATTTCTATAATTTTTGAGTAATAATGTTAATCTATGCTGACATTTCAAATTTCTTCGTTCCAGATAGAATTATATTGCCTTAGTTTAATCGAAATCGCATAACAGTGAAATTTCAATTGGGTTTTGTTATTTTGATATGAAGTATAACAGCGTGGGTTAATATTTACTAATATTGTGTTCATACCTGATTGGATGGCCCTTGAAAACCCGTTGGAAATGCTTTACAATATTTTCTCATATGAATCTACAGGTCGCCATATATGCAAGCTAAGTATAAATGGATTTTTATTCACTAACTGAAATTTAATGTTTTTATATGAAAAAAACTACTTGGTATTATTGAGTCTTGTTGTACTTGTTAGAAAAATTGTTCTTCAGTCTTAATAATCCTGACGGATAAATAAATTATCACTAACTTTTGGTGAACATTACCAAAATGACCTTTGCTATTCTCCTATTGCTTACTTTCTCTTTTACTTCGCAATTTTATCAGGTCTACAAAGTCGTTGCTCATATACAACTATTGTAACACATATTTGAGTTATTATGGAAAAATTAGAGCTCTGCCTAAGACCTGTCTTCTCTAATGCTCAATCATATATGCATTATTAAAGATCACATGCTATATATAACTCTTCCGATCTTTAAAAAGGGTTCACGTAGTCCCTGTAGCAACTATCGGGAGATAGGTCTACTTCCGATTGAGTCCAAGCTATTGGCTTCCGTCATACTTCGTAGGGTGTTCAAAACCCGAGAAAGATTGACTCGCGAGCAGCAGGCTGGGTTTCGTTCTGGTCGAGGATGTATTGATCATATCTTCACCCTCCGCCAAATATTAGAACACCGTCATACTTATCAAAGGCCAACAATCTTAGTGTTTCTTGACATTAGGGCTGCCTTCGATTCGTTGAACAGGACTGTTCTCTGGGATTGTCTATTGAAGAAGGGTGTGCCTGAGGAGTTTATTAACATCCTAAATGCCCTATATACAAACACCTCAGGCAGAGTGAAGGCATACAACCACCTCTCTCTATTGTTCCATTCGAGCAGTGGGGTTAGGCAGGGTTGCCCAATCTCACCATTCCTCTTCAACTATGCCATCGATGACATTCTGGAAACAGCTCTGATGGATGTAAGTAATGGTGGTGTGGATCTGTTGCCTGGAGAAAGACTTCTCGACCTTGAGTATGCGGATGATATTGTCTTACTGTGCGATAATGCCCAAGGCATGCAATCCGCACTTAATCAGTTGGCAATCAGTGTCCGTAGGTATGGTATGTGCTTTGCACCTTCGACATGCAAAGTACTTCTACAAGACTGACAGGATTCTAATCCTGTACTCACTCTGGATGGTGAGCAGATAGAAGTAGTCGAGAAGTTCGTGTATCTGGGTAGCTGCATAAGTGCTGGTGGGGGTGTGAGTGATGAGATCATTGCACGTATAGTGAAAGCTAGAGCGGTTTATGCCAATCTGGACCATCTTTGGCGCCTTCGTGATGTTAGTCTGGCTGTAAATGTTCGGATCTACAACGCATCAGTGAGAGCAGTTTTGCACTATGCTTGTGAAACCTGGCGTCTCCGAGTTGAGGACGTTAGACGACTCTCAGTGTTCGATCATCGCTGTCTCCGAAGGATTGCTTACATTCAGTGGCAACACCATGTCAGTAATGCAGAGGTTCGGCATCGTGTGTTCGGGCACAGAGACGATAATGCAATTAGTGTCACCATCTTAAAACACCGACTTCGGTGGCTTGGACATGTTCTACGAACGTTGCTTCAGAGAATTCCACGTCGTGCGTTATTTGCCGACGCTGGGACTGGTTGGAAAAAGCGGAGAGGTGGTCAGTGTATGATATGGTTTCTGGGTATGAAAGAAAGCTGCAAAGGACCGGCTTGTGTTGGTCCTTCACGACTCCCTGTCTGGGGTCAGAGAAATGGTGCAACACAGTGGCTAGAGACGTTTTCAGATACGGTTAAGAACAGAAGCCAGTGGCGATCCTGCTGTAACCTTCTTTTACTTTCTTCATAAAAAGTGGTTGTAACTCCCTTAACTGAAAGATTTCTTCTGATTGTATCTTTCCGTTTCCCCCATCATTAGTATTACTATTATTTTTATTACTATTACACTACCTTACACTTAGCTGTGGTCGTCATTGCTTTTTTTTTTTCTTATACACACTTTACCTTTTTTTCCTCTCCCCATTCTCATTGTTTTGTGTGGCGCATATATATCTGGTGCCCCCTCATACCAACATTTATGTGTTCAAATAATAATAAAATAAATACTAATTCGCGCAGATTCCGTTTTAAATTAGAAGTCTCTTAATCGTTCGTACCTTAAAATAGAAAAAAATATTTCACAAGCCACAACAAGTAGTCACTATGTAACAACAATTAGCAATCCCAATGTTTAGGACTTTTACTTTTGTACAGTTTAACCTTTTTTGTGTAACGTCCTTTTTTCATCGGTTTACAAGATAAATCCAGTAGGTTTAATTAATTTCAGAATAAAAAGTTTGATAAAATTTAACAACCACCTGATTGATTTCATCAAGTTATCTTTTGTCAATTAATTAATAAATAATAATAAAATGACAGGAAAGTCGACAATAAAATCCAGTACACATAGAGAAATGGAAAAAAGCCCATTGATGTATTTAATAAGTGAAACTCTCAGTTCCCTATCAAAACACGCTTAGATTTTAACACTAAATTCAGCCAGTCATTAACAACGTAGATCTCGACATATGTGGATAGGCTCGAGTAGTCGTTCCACATGAGCAAGACGAGATCAAAATGATACGGTATGAATAACAATAATCTTAAAAATAAACATTGAGAATATAATTCAATCGACAACCACTGGCAGCCTGCTTAAGTATACGGGCTACCTGTTTACGCCATCTAGATATTTCAACAGGATATCTGTTTCTTTTTGTTCTAACACATCGCTATGTCTACTAATTGCAGGTGCGTCTACGAAAACTTTACGATATTTCGCCATACGAGTTACAAAAAAGTACGATTAGAGACATCATGGTGGCTGGCAATATGCATTGAAAAGAATTAACACTATCCACATGTCGACTCCTGAACTGCTAATATCTAACTGGAGATCACTAATTGGCAACGTGGAGTACATTCAATTCCCACTAAGTCTAAACATGTATCACAATCCAAGAATCCTGGTTAAATGATTTACAAGAAGATTGCTTAGTATCACCGCAAGGTTTCAATATTTATCGTCAGGACCGATCAATAAATAAGAAAAGAATACTTGTCGAAATACATTGTGCTGAGAATTCTATATTGTACCAAAAATATAATACTGAATAAAGCCAATGATAATAATAATAATGAAAGGAATGAATGAAGGAATATTGGAAGTCAATATAGGGAGAAAGATAGGGAGTAAATGCACCTGGACCGCTGTGGATGATTCTGAGCTGAGTTACACAACATCTCTAATCACTGATCTTACTTATCACATGAACCCCAACCCGTCAGTCTGCATCTACACGCCTTTTAGTTAATAGGTGAACATCTTACCTACACTACAAGTGATAAAAGTTAGTAATGGTAAATTGAATGCATGGCAAGCCCTTGTCCGACATCGAACCGCCAAGTTAGTCCGTGAAAAGGAAATATCTGTCATGAATATCTCAGAAACTCTCTTTGATACATTAAGTATGCAAAATAGGATATTGAAAATATAACGGTACAAACAATTGCTTCTAATTATAAATGACAAGTAAAAGCAGATAACAGATAATCACATTTTGAAAAAAGCTCTTTTTTAATAATAAAAAAAGCTAAACCAATCCTTACTCTCTGTGGAAACGTAATAATTCCGGCCAATTACACAAAAGACGATTTTGATTATCACGCATAAATGTTGGCTGTGGATGAAAACGAGTCCCCAGTTCGTCATTATTAGCATTATCAACAGAATTTAACCATACTACCTAAAAAGCAAATAATATATACAGAAAATGCATAGAATTCAACAAATATTCATATTTTAGCCTGTTTAACTGAAAGTCTAAATTAATTCATTTAAAATCACAATGGAATATTTTGGACACTACACTTATTATGATCATGGTCAAGTAAATTTTAAAAAGCAAAATCAAAACATTTTTGCCAAATAGCATATCACCTGACGGAAAATTGATAAGAGGATGATGCAATGATGAACTTGGGGGATTTATCAGCCAATCAGGGAACAATGCATAATTGCAAAAAACATAAACAATAGAAACCAATAAAAAAAACAGTAGAATAACAGCTATGATCTGAATAACTAACCTTTACATGCAAAATTATTCTTTCTGGTAGGGGAAAGAGATCACATTTACATACGAGGAGTTACGAAAGTATTCTGAATAAGGGTTATCATTTCATAGAATTTTCGTTCCTAACTGACATCGATTATAGAGCAGGAAGGTTGGGTTAAGCATTAAGAATAAGGTTGACGTTTTGAGTCAGGCTTAAAAATTAAGGTTTCCGTTTTCGATAAGTACTGACATTAGTTATAATTCAGTGCTTTACCACTTAGGGTCGAGATTTAGAGGAAGGGTTAGAAAGGACGAACACTACATAGCTTCACAAAATACTCTTGACTACTCATTGAATCACATTAAGCACTGTGCCCCCAAATGCCCTGGTACGGCCGAGAGTCCGCTCTCCCTCTCGAAATGCTCTCACATGGCCACGCGTATATAGCCTCTGCCAAGGAAGTCCTACTCACTGCCTTCTCGTGGCGGGGGTGTTGTTTACGAAAATGAGAGGACGAAAAGCGAATGTCCGACGCTTTAACCGGATTCCAAATCAATGGTGCACATGGGCTCCAGTATCCTGCGGGAACAAATGGCGTATGAACCAATCGTTGGTCACCGGCTTCCATGGGACTGCATCTCCTGACGATTCTCCAGTGCCTTGTGGATCAGACCTTCAGGTCGAAGGCTCGGGGAGTGACCCCCTAAGAAAACCACCTGCTCCGGTTTGGGTACCCGGGCAGTATCACAGCCCTCACACATTTCGAATGAGATTTGTGTGGCGCATATGTATCTGGTGCCTCTTTGTACCAATATCTGTGTTGAATTAATAATTAAGCACTGTAACAAACAATCTGCCTTATTTCTATTGATTCCGAGCATTTTAAGAATCAATCATTAACAGTTTTCATCTAGTTGATAATGATATACAAGTAATCCATCACTGCGCTTCATACTTTGCGTAAAATGCACGAGGGTTTATCTTAATTCCGATTGGTCATTTCAAGGTTGTCAGTACACTATACTTTTAGCGAAAAATTTACTCAATAGATATTTCGTTTAAAAAATTGGATGAATTTTGAATAAATTCTGTATACAAATATCCTATAAGTACAGATACACTGGTAATTTTCTAATTTTCATCAAATAGACAGTTCAAAAATTGATTTATTGATTATTGTCACTATTATTCAAACTATACTGCATATTTTCAGTACAGGGTTGCGGAGACTATTGAATTTCATTAAAAATAATGAATCATCGTTAAAAACCCTGAAGCACTAAACGGCCGTTTAATTCTAGTACGGAATCCCTCAGCAGTACGCATCCACGGTAATGTTCGGAAATAAGACCTAACTTTCAAAGCCGAAATACTTTAACTGAAAATCCAACACTATCGTGATTCTCTTGACTACTACTTACAAGAAGTGGAAGATTTCGATAAATGTTCATTTTATCAAAACACATACAGCACTAATAACTACAACGACAGCATTACGAACAACAATCAATGGAATACGTCTGTAAGAAGTACTAAAAAAAGACTTATCAACACTTTTACCATTGTATGTTTGAATCAGTTTTGATCATTTTATTAGTGAACAATTGAATTCTTGCACATCAGCCCCATATGTACAAGGTATGTACTTACCCTATACATAAACATAAACACGTACACGCTGAAAAACAACTATGCAGGAAACTTGTTATTTCATCTAAAAATCAATTAGTACGATTATTGAACATTGACAACTGTTTACAACGTTATTTTCATAACAAAAAAAGGCAAGCAGATCTTAGTTCTTGTTGGATTCCATCCAAATATTATAATCACTGATATAAATATTTTGAAAACAAAAAGCAGATTACACAACTATCGATGATTGCGTGTCGTCTGAAATCGACTCAATCAGAGAAATAAGTTATAGATAAAAACAATAAATGATTCCTTACGATCAACTAAAACTATTCACAGAAAGACAGGAAGATCAAACAAGCCCTACACAAACAAACACAATTAACAATAATGTTTTCATGTATTTTTATTACTAAACAAAACTTCAGTAAGTCAAATTACAGCGAACAAACACTGTGAAGGTTAACTAGTAAGGACAAAAACTGATCAACAACTGAAAAACCAAACCTAACACCATTAGCTAGTAGTATATAAACACATATATATATATATATATATATATATATATATATATTTATATAAATATGTCATGTCAAGCTGGATTTGAACTACAGATACATACGAAAAGACACACAAAGATATAACGTCGTCTATAGGACTGAAAGTAATGTTGGAACAAGACGAAATCAGTGGACCATTTGGCAAATTATTAGCTTACCCATCTGAATATCAAACATAAAAGTACAAAGGGGAGAGAGATAAGGTGAATTATGTAAGACTAGTTTGTATATCACTATTTGTTTGAAAACAAAGATGAATAAACTATGTTTGGATGACAATGTGATGTATTGGACGAAAATTAATTTTGTGATCAAAAAATACAAATGGTTTCACAAGAATGAAATAAGACCGCCAGAGACGTTCAAAATGAAAAACAGTATTTACATCACGGTGATTCTGGTACATTTTTTAGATCAAAAAATTTCTCATCCCGTTTTGTTCAATAAAATGAACAGTTTTGCAAAGGAAGCTATCGGTTATTATTTTTCGAAGAGTAATATTAAAAGTAATGATTTCCTCAACATTCAACTCTTCTCCTAGCTGTGAACTGTTATGGATGCAGAATAATATACCAATCATTATCATGTTAAGTCTAATGATGTCCTTGGACTCTAAATGGGCATTCCGTATTGGCCATGATTTATTTCATTCGTTAAATATTGTACAGATGTTGTTTTCTATTTTTATGGTACGATGTGGTCTGTTTGGTTAGTATATAAATAGAGTATGTCTGAAATATAATGATTCATAACTCAGAGACTGTGACTTTCGTTCTGGACTCAACTGGCTGGGCTAGACATGGAAGCGGGACCAATCAGGGCACTGGGTCGTCCACTACGTGTTTTCCGTGTCACTGTAATCGATCGATATAAACGCTGCTTATCAAAACCTGCAGTCCACACGTTACAACATGAACGTTAACAATTTACTTGGCACTAGCTACATGATCTACAATTACTAATTGATGAATGTAAGCTGATCAATTCTGTAATATTGCTTTCTGAGAGGTTTACTGACATAGCTGAAATCAGCAGGATGTCTTTAATATGCGACACAAGGTGTCCTTACAAACCAGAAACGAGAATTTATTTCTCATTCAAACTATGACCTTAGATATGGATCTAATGGCCATACCAATCTCCATACTCTTTATTCGTCATTTAATTTCAGTACTACTTTCACGATTTCTGTAATTCTTCAACAGCTCAACCAATAACTGGAGTCTGCTTGGAATTGTCATGGACGAATTAAATAAACCTTTTACATGATCTTATAACAGTGATTTATTCACATGTTTAAACACATATAACGATTATTACAAGTTCAAACGATATGTTAAAATAATTCGTTGAAATGCTGAAAAGAAAATCAGTTCTCTCCTCTTGTATTAAGAATTTTATTAGCTTTCAGGCACAAAAATCATTATTGTAATTACAAATCTGTGTCTTGTTCGAAAGTTATTTTTTCCATTTTACTTCTAATGATATACATAGCCTTTCTCTCATCACAATTACTGCCGGTTTCAATCGAAATAAGGACACAAACTGAGTTCTGTTTCCACGTGATCAATAAGAAAATTAATTTCGTTTTGGATCTCAATATCTATTAACAGCCAATTGTAGAATACCCCGGTCTAATATGATTGATGTGGCTTTTTTCAGAAGTTACAGTTTTATATTAAACGATGATGGATTCGTCTGACAGTTTTTATTAAAATAAAATTAAAATGTGAGTTCTGACATTCAATCAAAACAGTTTATGCTAAATTGATTTTAACTAATCATACTACAACAATGCACAATTTATAGCCAATAAACAAATTATCACAAGTAAAAGAATGCTTGTTCCTAGAAACATGAGCGCAGATTTCGAAATAAAAGCTAACAAATCACTTATCATTAAATAATTATAATCATGCTCCTAAATTTTCATCAATAGGGGTCGGGAATCACATAATAACCATGGTAATAATGTCAGCCCATGCTGAAAACGATATCCACATAGAAAATAGTACTGAATTTTGCGCACTAACACATACGCACTAATATTCAACCCGTTTACCAAACACAGGTTTCCACCTAGTTTGCTTTGCATGGAGCCATACTGTTTGGATGAAGAATAAGGACACTATCAAACTACTTAGAGCGACGCTTGAATCTGTGACCTACTGATTAGAAAACAAGTGCTTTCACCACTAAGCGAGTACTTAATAAACCTTAGGAAATCAATGAGCTCTGATTTGCTGAACAGTCTGGAGCAAGGTACTCGAACACAAGTGGATTCGGGGAATCATTCTCACCTGATAAAATCACTGGACAATCAGTGTTACATAAACAGATATCATATGAAAACCAGTAAGACAACTTTGTGGTGATATAAAGGAAGAGATAGGTAAAAAAAATGAGGGAATAAATAGAGGAAAGTAGAGATATAGGTTTACATCCAAAGAACGTTTACTATCTTTTTTCCACTTAAATTGGAAATTTAAAAGAAACGGTCACATAATTACTGGTTACTTGGGCTCCGAATCAAATTACCCTGTCACTCAATACCTAGAAACTGTCTCAGCCATGCACTATAGTATGGAAAAATACGCCCTCTTCATCTTCGTCTATATGAACATCAATTAGCGGTCAAGCGCCATAACATATCCTCACTTATATCAATGCACGTGGACAACTATGGATACACATTCAACTGGAAATATGTGGAGATGTTGGTAGAGGCAATACTAAAAACACCAGAGAATTTTTTGGGGCAGCTTGTCACTCGGATCAATCAGCAATCAGCAAGCACATTGGAATCGATCCAATTTATCAACCAATCAGAAAAATTACGGAAAGACATAGGACAGAAAACCAAGCCAATGGGAGATACAACCAAAATAAATAAGTAAACAATAACAGGTTTAAGGTCAACAAGAGCCAATCAACATCGAAGTTCACAGGACAAGCTGTGAACCATATGTGCAGAAATTTGAACACTTCACTTCTACTTGAAGTTTGTGCTGATGATATCGTTCAGAAGAACGATGAAAGCTCCGCGACCAAAACATCCAGCTCAGATAACAAAACTTCATCAAAATTATCCACCTGAGCTACGAATCTCCACCATATGGAAAAATACAAATTTTCAACTTTAAAATGAAAACGGTCTAACACTAAGATAAGAAAGAAAGGATTCATATTTGATAAGGTTTTGTTCTTAAACACATGAATATTTCAACTACAAGCATTTCTTAAACTTATCTATTAATCAGTTAAAAATTGGAAAATGAACTATTTATTTTCATCTGAAAATCAATAAACTAAGGTTGAATTTTTAAAATAAACAATACAATTTATCTTATGAAAATATTTCGGTAGAAAATGTTTACATTTACTATTCCTATACAGTGAGAGTAAGTAAACAATGGAAGTTAATTGACAAGTTTCTCTTTTTAAAAAATGATATATCAGGCTAATAAGTTAGAAAACTATTTGCAGACTGTGGTATTTTTTGTATCTTTGATACACACAACAATGGTGTCAAATCTCTTAGATACAGTTAGTAGACTACAAAGATAATGATCAATAATTAAATAACTCAGATCTTATTGTCAATTTTATAAACGTCAGAGCGAACCTTCACTGTCTAAGCACAGAACACACTACACATAAACAATCACTACAACAGGCGTATTTTCCTGAAGACTATGTGCAGTATGTGTACCGCGTGAGGAAAGCTAAGATTAATCAGTTGTAAGAGATGCAATGAAGAATTACCAGCAAAAAACAAGAGGTTTATAACCGCATCACTTAATAGTAGTTTGATAATACATTGGAACATACTGAACTTACATCATAAACATGTTGTAGAAAATTCACATAAGATTTTTCTGTATCTACCAGTTCTTTCCATGCTAATTGATATCGTTTACCTGGAGTTGATAATGAAGTTGGAGATTCTAACTGTGATAGCTGATATGAAGTTGAGTTTGAGCCTTGAATGGAATTGGAAACTTTGTTATTGTGGTTGTTAAGACCCTACATTTAATAAAAGCAGAAAACTTTAATTAGCATAGCAAGAATAAGATTCTCCTAACAAAATATAAAATCGTACGAGGTTATAAATGAGTAGAACTTCCAGTCCCGTTCAATGTAGATACAGTAGGTTAGTTCGCTTGATCTGTTATTAAAAATTCATGACGTTAAAACGTAAACCGTAGATTGACAGAAGTGACACAAACACTGCAGAAATGTAGGCCTACTGAATAGTTACCTCAAAGGAGAAGTAACTTAGTCATTAAAACACTCAGCCTATGACGACTGCGTTGAAGGTTCAAACAATGGTTACGCTTACTTGAAGTGATATCACTACCTGTTACATAAAATGTGTGACTTAAAGTCGGATATAAATATGAAGTATTATTTGGTGAGTTGATGGTTTATAAACTTCAGCAAATTAACAACACTCACAGAAGTATGCTATTTATTTATAAAACAATAATTCAAATCGGAAAATTCATCATACAAAACCATCTATGTTGAATGATCAATACAAGTGTGATTTTAAAAACCACTATTTGATGAATTTTTCATTAATTCATGAATAAAAAGTTTGAAAATATTGTTCAACTCTAAGATCTATGGGAAAGTAGTCAGAGTATATAGTATTAGAAATAAAAACTTACTTCTGAAGATGATGATGCTGATTCAATAGCTTCTTGAATGGGTGAATTTGTCCCAGGACTAGTCAAAGTACTACCACTGCTATTAGTACTACTATTAAAAGATTTAGAGTTGGGATGATTTCTTGGGAAACTTGTTCGTGAAATGTGTTGACGAATTGAAGCAATAGCAAGATTACAATTTTGTGCTAAATCTTCTACTTGTTTTAATAATTTACTTAAATGACTCTACAGATTAAAAATAAAAACAACACATCGATGCATAGAAGGATATCAATTGAAAACACTAGAATAAAACAATCATAATTAGAAAAATCTTCAATTGCGGAATCAGTGTATCATAAAGAGATATAAAATTAGATTCACAATGAGGATTAGAAATCACATTATTACTATTCCCAAACCAATATGTGTATACAATATAGTCTTACAGGGGAATAGATTATTACTGAAGCAGTTTTACTGGCAATGTTTGACACTGTAGAACTACAGAGTATGTACAGATAGACCTTTGATTAAGTTTTTTGTATTAAAACAATGGTAATAAGTGAGGGGTTGAATTAGTGGTTAAAGAATCCCGATTATAACCAGTTGCTCGTAGATTCAAACCCTATTCCCCAAACTCCCATTTGGACAACTGGGTAGTATCATCAGACTGTATAGAAAAATGTGACCCAAATGCTGGTTAATAAACTTGTAATTAGCAAGTGAATCACATTCATGGTGACAACATAGTTGAGAAGTTAAAAATAAGGGATAAAAAGTACGAGAATCAGCATTATGGTGATGAATTCTGAGCTACATTCCATTATCTTAAACCATCGAATTCCAACATCTCAAGGGCTCAAGCCTTGAACTACAGTTTTCATCGATGCTAAAAGCTGACAGCACGGAACCAAAGTCCTATCAAGATACTATGCCATAAATATGAATCTTCAAGCATTACGAAATGATAATAGAGAAAAGACTATTCCAACCAAAAAAGCACTCGACTTTCTTGGTATTAGTAGATAAGTTTATTTCATGAAATATACGAGGTTTACAGAATGATACATGTTTCAAAAACAAATAATTCTCTTTTTTGAATTATTCTATGGGGATTTTTAAAGTGATACATGTTTTGTTTGTAGAGATCACCGTCATGTGAATTTCATTTCAATTATTTATCATTTATTTAAAACTAGAAACATTTTAATTTAAAGAATGAATATGATAGAAAAGAGAATTTGTAGCAATGTTTCACGATAATAATTAAACAAAACCCACCTTCAAATCAGCGTCTAATAATCCAACTAATCGTGAATGAAACAGTTTAGGATTTCGAAGTAACTCTAATCTACTCTGACGTGAAGAAGTAAATGTAATCAATTCATCCATACGTGACCGACATTCCACTAAATTCATTGTAGTGAGCTTATTCGGTGGTGTTACTGTCTTCAATAAATGATGACCTTCTTTAATCCATGAAGCAGCCTATAAGGAATAAAGATTAGAGTAAATCTTTGAAAAGTCTAAAAAATAGAAAATGTTAAAACGCTATAAAACCGAACAAAATAGCTACATTAAGTATTCGAAGAAAAATTTCAATCACAGCCACATATATTATTCATAAGGAGCCTAAATATGAGGAAAATATTCCAAGTACAAGTTCTGGTCCTTTATATACAAACCATATCTTTTTCTGTTATTAGGAATTATAATATATATATATAGCCATTGTATGCATAATTTAGGTAGGTAATTGAGAAGACTGAGTAAAAAGACAAGAAACATGAAAGAACAATTAATAACAATGTTGTAAATATAAAAAGTGACACTACTCACATTATCAATTTCTGTGTACAGTTGTAGCAAACGATTAATTTGATCAGCTGCTTTTGGTAAATCTATACTAGCTAAATCAATCATATTTTTAAATAACAAAGACCATTCTTTTACATTTGAAGGAAATTTGATAGGAAGAAAATATTGTTGCATGGATTCATCAGTTTTTTCATTAGAACTATGATTAATTTCATCAGACATAACAAGATTAGATGATTCATCTTCCTCTCCAGAATATAGAGATAAGCAACTGGTATTTAGGTTAACATCATTTTGTTGATTACTTCCATTTAATTTTATTGACAAATCTGGACAAATAATATTTGAGACTAAATTTGCACTGACCAATCGATTTACATCACAACAGAGAAATGAAGCTGAAAAAGAATATCTAATCAATTATCATTTAAGACTAAAACGAATTCACTCGATTTACTTAACAATAGACGAATATGCAAAATAATAATCATACTAGGAGTCACTTTTATTACATAACAACGAGAAGTATTAATACTACTGATTATACTACAGTAAGTGAAGTGATCCGATCAATTGATTTATTAATGATTAGGTATATGTATATGTCATTTATTAATAGCGATACTGTCCGGTTTCAAAACCAAATTAAATGAAATTGAATTAGAACAAGTAGTTCACTGATCGAAAATCAAATGGTTTAACCACTAACTGTTCAAATGGAATTCTAAAAAAGTATATCAAAAATGAAAATCAATGAATAGATAACTAGAAAGTGATGGAACAGTAACGATCAAAAATACTACATCTACACAAGATGGAGTAATATTAATTTAGTAATAATGGTTTTTCTTAGCTAGATAATTGTCTTACAAAGTTTAGATGTTATATCCATGCTGATCGTGTAAAGAATTTGGTAAATTAACAGTCTAGTAATAACTTAAAGAAATCATTGTATGAGGCACTCCAATCACAAGCAAATTGTAAGGACTATTATTTAGCCTGACAATGAAAATTTGAAATCAAACGACCGCATCTAATAAGCTATGTCTAACTAATAAATCTTCGCCATTTTGAAATAAAATTAATAACGAGACATCGAACATAAAAAGTGGCAGCTTTGAAATCATTACCAGATGAACTATATTCCTTTAAAGTCTGAAAGATGGTCCGTTTGGATTGAATATCTCAATATTTCAAAGGTCGACCATTTCATAAGAATGCTTAAAATAAACAACTGCTCTCGAGATCAGATGGGACTGAGCCTTAAAATAGTTTGTCGAACATACAATAAAAAATTTGAATATTTTGCGTTCATAAAAATCAAAAAGATGAACATATATACAGGATAAATTAAATAATATCGAGATTTACTCAAAAAGTCGAATTCTATTAATCAGAGATGAAGAAGACCACATTTTGGAAAAAAAACTTTTGAGCTGAATTCAGAAAAAAAGCAATATTACACCATGAATATAAAAGTTAATAAAAGCAGAGTAATAATAATCTACTAAACAAAAATACTTATCTGACATAGTCAGGAGAAACTCTCACGGAACACAATCGATTTACATTGTCACACGTTCGGTGAGAAGGAAAGAATATCAACGAATTGAAAAGTATTCAAAAATGAATTAAAAGGAAACTAGTACGTAAACTGTAAAAATGAATTTCAAGATTCAGAGGAGTGCACAGAGAATGGGTGCATTTCGTATCAGTGACTCAGATCATCAATAATTTCTAACAACATAACAGTTGAATATAGCCAAAACAACATGGATTTATTACATTTCTTGGTTTCCCATCTGTCGCTTACAACCATATATGTATTAAAATGTAACATTGAGTTATGATATAATGTGCATCAATTGACATTGATGACGGAAAGAATTAGAACAACAAAGTTTATCAATAGTAACTATGAATAGATATCCGTGTAATAACAGTTGTGCGAGGTCATTTGGAGGTGGAGTCCTAAAAGCATAGGAGGGCGGGTGAGACAGTAATCAAATGAAGTCCGGAGACAGATAATACAGATTGTGTGCCAAGTATAGAATTTGTGAAGAACTTACGTAAAATTCAAACCACCAAAATAGATATAGAAGATTTGAAGCGTTGAGACGATAATTGTATAGAATTAGGAATCGATAAGGTGGGTTGCGTAATAATTAAACAGGATTTGAAGAGGCTTACATAAGTTTAGAGAATTGAGTGAATGAAAAAACTAACGAACTCAGGGGTGATTTCGGTGTAAAATAAGAATTAGTTTGATGAAGACCACATAACAAAGTAAACACTAATAAAATAATAATGATACCAATGGGAAATAACGATCTACTAGGGTAGTGATAAGTCGATTACTGTCTCTTTCTGGATACATAATTTAGATTTGAGTATCTTTATTGCCACTACTTCGGTAAACCGAAGAGACGCTGTGTTTTTATGTCTGCTGATAATTTTGAAGGGTTGAGGAATATCAAACGTATTCCCGGTATCAATCAAATGCGGAGCTATTGCACTATATGGAGTTTTTGCACCTCTCAGTCTCAAGTTGTTCGGAACATGTACTCTTCTCTCTGTTCTTCTAATCTATGTGTTTTGGCACGTACATGTAGATTGGTAAATGCAGCTGGAGGTACTGAGAAAAGATGACTTGTCAATTTTTATTTGTTTGAGCGAACAGTTAGTTTCGCACAACGTCGTCAATCTTGCTAATGAATATGCAATCTTCATCGCGACATTTATTCTGTATTTAATTATTCCAGTGATTTCATCTTTGAAGCGTGAATATAAGAAGCAGGTTTTCTTATCAACTGTATCGTTATTAACATGTAGGTTGGTTTTTGCATATTTCTCTATACATTTCGCTGAATGTGCATTTTCACGTAAGCAATATGTGATGAAGATGAGTTCTTCTTCCAAGCTTTCCTTCAGGAAAAGTTTACGAGCGCAGTCAAAAAGGGGTTCGTACAACCCCGTTTTTGTAACTTATTAGAGAGAAGCTGTTTTAGTATAGATAAACTCCACTCCATGCATTTTTGCAGTAGTTGTGTAGCTTTTGAAGTTCGTTCGATTCTAGCATCTGAGAAATGGGATTTACCTTCTATTTCATGTTTCATAGTCAAGTCTCTATCGTTGTGTGCTGTGTTAAACAGACTGAGCGAGTACACAGAAAACTTCTAATTGTTACAAACAAGAAACGTGTCATTAATATATTTACGATAGAGTATAGTTCCTTCGACTGAGTGTGCTTAAGCTTCTTCTGTTCCAGGTTTCCCATAAGTATATCAGTCAAAATTGGACTCAGGGCGACTCCATCAATCCGGAAGTACAACACACTGTTGAAGTGCAATTGAATATTTTTGGTACACATAAACAAGATCTGTTTGAATTCATTGGTTAGGGAAGGAAGGAGTTGAGGATAATGACATATAATTTCAGCCGTTTCCCCCAGAATCGGTGAGACGTCGAAAGATACCATAAATTTGTCGGAAACATTTAAGCCATCAAGCTTTTGTACAAATTCGAAACTATCCTTCAGACTGTAGAAGGCTATTTTCTGGTGGATTGGTTCTAAACACCATGTCAACTAGCAGGCGAGATTGTGAAAAGGCGATTTGGTTATCCATAATATTGGCCTCAATGTAATGTTTGACTTGTGCATTTTAGGTAAGCAGTACAAGGTAATTGAGATTTTTCGGCATCAATTTGTTGTACGTAGGATTATTGATCAAGTTTTTCTTCAAGAGCCCTTTCAACTTTGACAAAAGACGCTTCTCAACCGCATCTATCAGGTTTTTCTGAGCACTGTTGATGATGAATCTCGTGGAATCATTTGAAAAAATTATTTTGCTTATGTATTCGTCTCTGCTTACTTAACGTTGTTGCATTTTGGTCAACTCAATATTTATCATCTAAAAAAACCCACAGAAAAAAGTACGAAACTTTGACCTAGTGATTAATCCACTTGACTACTGACCACTAGGTTTTAAATTCAAATCCCTCCTTCAAAGTAATATCAATTATACGCAGGCAGAGTTTGGTTACCAAATTGAAATACAAAAAAAGACCACATGATATAAGATTCGACGAACATATTTACACAGAACATGCAATAACAAATACTTAAATGCTAAATCCAATTAACTACCTTGATGATTGTCTTTCTCATTAGAATTGTTCAGTAACACTCCTTCTTTTTCTTCCACGTTATCAATTATAAATAAAGCAAAATTGCTTGCAATCTTATCTAATTCTTTTAATCTTGCTAATAGTCGATTACCAGTGGCTTCCGCTTCCAATATACGACAAGATAGTAATTCTAAACTTTCCAATATTGTTTTACTTAACGATGTATCCGTCTCATCATCATCATTTTTCAATGCAGAAAGTATAATGAAATGTGAAGGGGAACATGGTGAATTATTACTATTATGAATGCAACTGTTCTCCTTATCATCTTTTAATGATTGATTATGATAATGTTGATGTCCTGGAGGTAAAGTGGAGGAGTTGGACATTTTAACAGGTAAATAATCAACTAGAGATTCAATTAGATTATTCCATGTACTGGCAAGATTAGTAAACTATGAAAAGAATTTTTGAAAAGATAAAAATAAGAATGAGATTCTACGCATATTGAAACACTATCAATACGAAAAATGAAAGTTATTCTCAATTAAACCATTATACTGAAATCACTTTACGATTTATCAAAAAATCTCTGGTCCCATAACCAACATGTAGTGATAACTGACCAGTTAAAACCATGATTTACTAGTTGAAAGATTCAGTGCTCGATAGCTGGATCAAGAGATTTGAACTTCATTACTAACAGACATGAGGTGTAGATTTTGCCATCACCTACCTCAGCTTACTACACTGACCAACATAGGTTGTAAAAAAATTAGATTGCAAAAGGATCAATAAATAGCATCAGTTTAAGAAGTCATTATTTGTTGATCTGAGCCTTATCGAAAAGTGAACACTTCCTAACTGGAGTTAATGAATGAGAACCTTGAAGAGAATCGCCCAAAATTTGTTACTGCAATGGGTCTATTTTTCATCTGTCGAATTCATAGCGTAACCTTAAACTTTCGTTCCCAGATTTAACTTGTTGTTTATGGAGTATATTATGTATACTTAGATTTATATTAGCATTGATTTGGATTTCAAAAGTGGTAAGTTAGTAAAACTGTAAGAAGATTTTCACATACATTAAAACCAAACATATTACTAACAGATGCACACTTTACAACATTGATTATAAGTTATCCCCGCACAACTCTCAGTATAGGTCAATTACGGCAACAACACTTCTCATGGTAGTCTGATCCCAGTTTAGTTACAAAAAATAATACACAGAAAACATGTTTTCTCAGCTTGTAATAATTCCGAAATTATCCATACTGTACTAAAATAATCTCATTTATAATTTATTTTGTTAGTGCTACAAAACTTATGTTTGAAAGCAGGTACAACCATCATATGACTACAGAATAACTTTAAAATAACCTTTACAACCCGCATTTGTATGACTCATCTTGTTTTGATTTTTTTAAAGTATTTCCGATCTGCATTTTACAAATATACCTTTGACATAGATTCTGACAAAAACAAACCAATGGAACTTAAAAGTTTAAGGTTAGTTAATGAGATTGTAAATCGGATACAGATGAAGTGGTTAAAACACGTGTTGCGTGCACTTAGTGATATGTAATGATGCATCTTCTGGGTGGTCATAATAGGATTATAAAATTCTAATATGGTAAAAATAAAACTTGTCACAAATTCATTAGGTCACTTGGTTATTGGTTGGAGTTATGTGAAATAAGTAGCATATATTACCGAACTTCGTCTTATGACAACGAGATCATTATTAGCCATTAGGGAGTTGATGAGAAACTCAAAAAAAGAATACCAGATTGTTAATGTGTTTATAGGTATCAATGCCAAGGTTGGACTTGATAACTTCAAATAAAATAATAAACATATTTTTGTTATATCCTAATGCGTAGAAAAATTGCATTTCTGAAGTGGCTTATATTAGGTCACAAAACGTCAGAAATGCGATTTTCCTATTCACTGGGATATAACAAAAATATATTTATCATTGAGAGTACCAGAGTTGTTTATACACACAACAATTAGCAGACCCACAATTAATTGGACTTCTTTAATTGATTTACTGTCCATAATAAACTAATTTCAAATTATATATTATATAGATATTTCATGATGATTTGAAATAAACACTGATTATTCAAAGTCCTCAGTGGTATTGAAGGTATACTAAACGACAAATATCTTCGTCTCTATTTTGAACATCTTACTATTCTATATTTAGGTATAATTCATTCAATCATAACCTTTGAGTTAATTCTAATACGCTTTCCCCACTTTTTGTAATTTTCTTGTCTGTACATTAAGATTTAGGTTTATAATATCAGTAATGAAGTTTTTACAAATGGGAGCTGTGGTTTACTGGTCAAAGGACTCGATTAATGGGTCACCGACTTAAATTCGACCATACATATCAAAGTTTTGACAACCAGGTAGAATCGTTTATAGTTACATGGAGAATTTAGTCCATAGACTAGTACACTAACCTGTATGTGTTTAGAGATATATGTTATTTTATCTTACTTATTTGATTACTTTCGAGCTAACAAAGAAAGTTTTGAATAACAACGTGTACAAAAATGTATTTATTTAGAAGTTATGTTGAAAATGAATAGTCTTATGGAGATAAGGTGAATTCGAACCAGTCAATTGGCAAAGCTTTAAATAGTTTCGCACTAAAATAAGTACTTAACAAATAAATAACATTACTGAAGGCTTTGTACCAAAAAGGAGTTAAATGAGAGGTTGAATAGAGCTATTATCTGAGAAAAGACTTTGTTAAGTAAGGTTTGTCAGATATATCCATTTTAATTTCTATTTGCAAATGTACTTCTAAATAACCTCATTTCAATAACAGGTTTTTCAGAGAACCGTGATTCAACTACAGATTTTGTGCTTAAGTATACTGATCGTAATTGCACTATTTAACAAAGATTCGAACAAAACACGCTTTCACTGTCCTGGATAAAATGGTTAAAATGAATAATGTACATATCTTCAAAGTGGAAATACAAAATGTAGAGTTTAATGCTACTTCAATCAGGTGTTCGGACACAACTTTTACTTATCACACTCACACTATCAATCTAGTGTCATACTTATTGTCTAAAACGTCTTAATTACACACAAAACAGAAACAATAAAAATTCCACTACAAATAAATAATATTATATTCAAAACATACTTATACTTACTTCGTAATATTGGTTTTCAACATCATCAACCAGAAATGTAACACGTACTCGTTTCATGTATTCACGCCAGTACCGTCTTAATTCAGTACGAGCCTCAGTTAACCTAATGAGTATACGATCAAAAGTAATTATATGAAAGACATAATCGACTGGTAAGTCATATGCATCACTTGTATTAGCCCATGTCCCCGTTTTCGATGGTATATCACATTTTATTGTAGTGTCTTCTTCTCGTATAGTTGTACATGACTGATTTGAATTTTTCTTAAGTAAATTTTCACGTATTTTCAAACCTTTTACTTCACAGTGTGAAACACGATGTAACCAATGATGACATTTTTTACGTAATTCGAGCATATTTTCACAACTATAAAATTGGTTTAAATAGCAAGTTCTTGATTTTGGATTGCAATAATAATCCTGTCGTTGATTATAGTTTTGATTAATACACTGATTCATGATGTTTTTCAACTCAGTGTTTAAATGTTCAACTTCTTCAAAGTATTCTTCAATATCCTTTAATTTGAAGAATTGTAAAGATAACGAATAATTATTACACATTATTTATAATTACAAGAAGTAAATACAGGAACAAAATGATTAGACAGAAAAAATAATTCCGCTTCGAATAAAGAGATGTGAGAAGTAAGTAAGAAGCGAAAAAGATTGGGATAGTCGTATTAGATTAATAAGCAATAGCATTAAATCAAATCAAATAACAGATAATAAATCTGTCGCAAAGATTACAAATCCATTCTGTTAAGCTTCAGATATAGATGAGATTAATTATACTCCGACAATACTCAGGGTATATTTTAGTACTCAGTATTAGTTAAAATGATAACCATATAAAACACAGTCGAAAAAAATCAAAGAAATTAATGGCAAACAACAAGTGAATAATCTGCATATAAAATGAGGCCACTATTCTGTTACTTATTTGTTTTATTTTGTTCTTTTGTCTTACGATTAGACACACATAAAAGCAAACAAAATTAGTTTTAGGTTAGACTAGCCAATGATTGGTGATTTTACTCTTATTAATCATAAAATATCATTGGATTATTGCGAAAATTCATGAATAATTAAAAATATAAGCGTAAGACTCGCGTGTTTATGTTTAAGTGTTATCCTTATTATAAAATGAGTGTGCAGTGAGAAAATATGATTATTTATCTAAGCCCATATACAGAAAACAGATTAGAAGAATAAATGGATAAGGTTTGGTTGATATATATATATAATACCTACTTGTGAAAACTGAAGACAGAAATCTTTTCGAGTAGCATAATGCAAAATATGTTGTCGAACCTGGTGAGAAATGTACGGATAAATAAGTGTGATATTCGTGTAATAATTTTTCAATAGTATTGATTGGAAATGTCAAACAAAAGACAATGATATAAATTGGGAAGCTATGTTAAAACAAAGTTAGAGGTTTCATTATTTCCAAACTAACTCCTTAAGACAGAATCCTGCTCAACTCCCAGGTTTTGTACAAAATGGTCTTAGATTTCTGCGATTGATATTTTTAGAGTCGAGATAATATAGTAGAACTGCTTCTGTATTATGTTAATTATTGGCTTTATATAGTACTCGTAGTTAGTATTAAGACGTCTCATAATGGCTAATGGAAAATTTATTCACAATTATTACAGGTACAGACAATTACCAATAACCACTTTTCACCTGAAACACCAGAATTCGGATACCATGTTTAAAAATCCGTATAAAAACAATACTAAGTGAGGGTAAATATCATTACCTAATTCAACGTTCTGAACCAGCGAAAGAGTATAACGGGGTTCCGTTTTGCCATCCCTCCTTAAATGGGAAATATTTGGTATCCGTAGCTTAGATACAGTCACCACAATGATCTTTGTTACTGTGTGAGAATACCGAATTTTTTCGGTCTGGTGGAAAGAAACCTGAGCAATCCTGCACTGAAAGGTGTTTCACTAACAAATTATGACAATTAATGACTAAAAAATATGAAAAAGATTTATTCAAAGAAGAAACTACTATGGAGAACAACTAGAAAGCGACCAAAGAAGCACTAGCTTCAACGCGTCAGGAGGCTCTGAGCCGCAAGAAGCACCATAAAAAACGGAACTCCATGGAAATCCTGAACAAGATTCAAGAAAGGATGAACAAGAAGTCAGCAATTAACAACAACCGAACAAGAACAGATTAAACCCAGGCAAAAACTGAATACATAGAAGCAAACAAAAGAGTGAAGAGGGGCATTAGAGCTGACAAGTAAAAATACATGGAAGAGCTAGCAACGACAGCAGAAAAAGCTGCAAGAGAAGGAAATATGAGACAGCTATATGACGCAACGAACAGACTAGCAGGGAAATATAGTAAACCATAGAGACCAGTCAACGACAAAGAAGGCAAGCCAATCATTGAGATTCGAGGACAGAAGAACAGATGTGTGGAACACCTTCAGAAGCCCTTAAATAGAACAGCTCTGTTGGATCCACCGGAAATCGAAGCAGCATCTACAGACCATCCTATAACTGTCACTCCACAAACGATCAAAGAAATCAACACGGCCATCAGACAAATCAAGTGGAAAAGCAGCTAGACCTGACAATATACCAAATGAAGCACTGAAGTCACACATAGAAGCAACTGAAAACACGTTTCGCACTCTATTCAGGAAGATTTGGGAGGAGGAGCAAGTGTCACCGATAGACTGGAAAGAAGAATATCCCATCAAGATACCAAAGAAAGATCTTAGCAAGTGTGATAATCACACAACTATTAATATCTGAAATAGTTTTCAACAGTGCTGTTGAACTGGATGAAAGATTCAGTAGACGTCCAACTCCAAGACCAACAGGCTGTCGTGTACTAACCAAATCGCTTATCAACGTTGAACAATCAATTGAGTGGTACTCGTCACTATACGTCAAATTCCTTGACTATGAGAAAGCATATGATAGTGTGGATAGGAAAACCTTATGGAACCTTCTTCCACACTATGATTTACCTGAGGAGATCGTCACCATCATACGGAATTCATACGACGGATTACACTGCAAAGTTGTGCATGGAGGACAGCTGACGAACTCATTCTAAGTCAGTCAGTCAGTAACAACGTAGAACTTCGTACGCACGTACATCAGTTCGAGTTGCCACACCACATTAGCACAGAGATGCAGTGGTCGATTTAAATCCCGTAGTGGTAGAGGTAATAAGAATATAAGCAGTAATCGGGAAGATTAGTGTTTGGAGATGTTACTTAAAGAGTATAATACAGTGAAACAAATTTGGGAAGAGAAAAAAAAGAGACAAGGAGGAATAAGAAGATCAGATTTTGGGAGAACACAAAGAGTGTATGCACCTGCGCCATTGCAAACGATTTTGAGCCATGTCATTCAGGGTCTCTAACCATCGGTTGCTATCATCTCGCAGATCTCAACCAGGTAGTCTGCACCTACCAACATGTCTCAGTCCACTTGTCAGTGACTTCATGAACTTGTGCCATGTTTTGGTTTGGCCGCCCCTAGCTTTCTTCCAACCTACACCTACACCATTAAACATCACACGTCGAAGCAGTCAGTGGTTGGGCATACGTAACACGTGTCCCAGCCATCTTAACTGATGAAGTTTCACTACGTCATCAATTGATTTGCCATCTGTTATAACTCTGTTTTCTACGGTTAATGACCCAGCTATTCCTATTGCTTAGTATTCTCGGACACCGATTCACTCGACAAGTCCCCAAATCAGAACACGGTTGAACAGGAAAAAGATTATATTCCAAATAGCAAGTCAGAAGCCAGTAGGAAGCACAATAGGGGAAAACGTCGGTATATTTATAGGTTTTACATAAGAAGATTCCAGAATATTCTCCAACTATCGACTAGCGCTGATTGGATAAGAATTAGCCAATCAGCGTGCACCAAAGCAATCATGCATTGAGCATGCTTTAGTCTAGTCTATGTCCCGCTAACACCATCCTTACCTAGTACTCGTTTCCTAACAACTGCATTACTTACTCGATGGTCCCACGATATACGAGCAATATTTCGAAGGCACCTATGATCAAATACTAGTAACCTACGAATATCCTCTACTCTCACCGGCCATGTTTCATTGCCATAAAGTAGGACGGAACGAACTGCTGCGCAGTAAACTCGTCCTTTGGTTGGTAGACGGATATCTCGCCTACGTCATAAATGACGCAAGTTGGCAAAAGCTAGTCGAGCCTTCTGTATCCGTGCTGAGATCTCGTTACGCACCAGACCACAAGGGCTGATGAGACTTCCAAGATAAGTGTTAGCGGGACATAGACTAGATTAAAGCATGCTCAATGCATGATTGTTTTGGTGCACGCTGATTGGCTGATTCTTATCCAATCAGCACTAGTCGATAGTCGGAGAATATTCTGGAACCTTCTTATGTAAAAAACTATAAATATACCGACGTTTTCCCCTATTGTGCTTCCTACTGGCTTCTGACTTGCTATTTGGAATATAATCATTTTCCTGTTCAACCGTGTTCTGATTTGGGGACTTGTCGAGTGAATCGGTGTCCGAGAATACTAAGCAATAGGAATAGCTGGGTCATTAACCGTAAGAAGCGAGAGATTATAACAGTGGCGACGGGAAAAAAAACTAAAGAAAAATGGCGATTTCTTTAGAACAGTTGCGGTTAATATTACAGCACCAGCAGAAGTTGTTAGCCTTGCAACAACAACTATTGAACACACTTTTCACTCGACCAGAAAATAAGAAATCTGTTTATGATGCAGTAACAGACATTTCGGAAGCATATCTAGTGGAGGGTTCAAATCCCTTTATACCTGAATCAGAACGTAATATTTGTAACGTGTCCGGCTCACAGCAAGAAAATACTGTGCTGAATGCACATGAAGTTGTGACAATACCAGATGATCAGGAGCCAGATCCTGTAGATGAAGCCCGGAGTCCAGAATCAAATGAAACACTACTGGTACTGTCTAGCTGCGAAAATAAACGTCAGCTCGAACAAAATTGTGGTCCACGTGCTATTAGTCGAGAAGGCTATGGTGACTCGTATTCAGAAAATAACTGGAGCAACACGATGAACCAAATTGTACCAGATGTTACTCAAAATCACCGGAAGACAGAATTTTATATTGAGTCAACTTATCCCATTTCTAATGACAGTGTACCAGATATTGATTCTCAGAATAATGCATATGATTTTGATGAACCTTCTTATAACAATGAGGGAAATATGTCAGCTGAGTCGAATGATGGCCAAAAATCTAATCTAATTCTGTTAGACGTTGACTTTCTTAATGACTCGTTATCTGCTAACGAGATTCATAATGAATTTGAAAATAATGGACTCAGATCAAAGGTTGTTCATCATCATCTAGTCATTTTAGTGGATTCTCCAGTCAATACGAGAAACATGGTTTAAATAAAGTCCTACTAGTTGTAATTTGGAGCCATAAGGACCCAACATTATTTTGAGGAGGAGAATGTTGGAGAATTAAAAGTTATGCATACTTTTTTTTAAGAAAAATCAAAACGCCGGGAACATGTCAGTCTCTGTGCAAGGAAAAAGTGATAATTCTTCATTGCCTAGACGATGGACTAATCGAAAGCACAAGTCAGTCACTCAGTTGCAGTTGGACCCTAGCACCAGATCCTACGAATCTGCTCAGAGGGGAGGTGTTAGCGGGACATAGACTAGATTAAAGCATGCTCAATGCATGATTGTTTTGGTGCACGCTGATTGGCTGATTCTTATCCAATCAGCACTAGTCGATAGTCGGAGAATATTCTGGAATCTTCTTATGTAAAAAACTATAAATATACCGACGTTTTCCCCTATTGTGCTTCCTACTGGCTTCTGACTTGCTATTTGGAATATAATCATTTTCCTGTTCAACCGTGTTCTGATTTGGGGACTTGTCGAGTGAATCGGTGTCCGAGAATACTAAGCAATAGGAATAGCTGGGTCATTAACCGTAAGAAGCGAGAGATTATAACAATAAGTGAAGCGATCGACACGCTCAATTACTTCACTCCCTACCATTAGTTCGGGTGTCAATGCAATCCAATCCTGAAGCAATATTTTGCATTTCGATGGGGAGAATCGCATCCCGAACATGCTTGCATTGTTGCTTAGAGTGGTCAGAAGACTGCATTTTGTCAGCGTCTTCACCAAATAAAACTATGTCATCAGCATATTCTAAGTCAACAAGTGAACCTCCCAGTAGAAGTTCAACCCCTGGAAATCTAGACGAGGAAAGTGTTATCTCTAAAAGTACGTCGACGACATAGTTGAACAAGAATGGAGAGAGTGGGCAGCCCTGACGAACACCAATTGAGGTAATCGATTCTGATGACAGTTCGCCATAAGCTCTCACTTTACCAGTTGTGTTCGAGTAGAGAGCCTTTATAAGGTTAATGTACTTTTTTGGTACTCCTTTCAGTGAAAAACACTGCCATAGAACCTTACGATCAACAGAGTCGAACTTGCCTTAAGGTCGAGAAATACTACCATTGTGGGGCGTCTGAATGTGTCTGTGTTCTAGAACCAGTGTCAGATATAGCTAATTACTTTTACTCTTTCTCTTTCTTTTGGTGGTTGCCTGGATTGTGAAGATCTTTATGTCTCAAGGAAAACACGGAATGAAATGGACAGGTTGGATGCAACTTGAGGATTTGGACTTTGCAGATAACCTGGCCCCTCTATCCCATACACAAGAGAAAAACCAAGGTCCTCAAATACAACAAGGAGAACACCAGCCCAATCACTGGAAAAGGTGGAAACTTTGATGCACCTGTGAGCAGCATCGATGAACGATGAAAATCTGGTGCAGACGTAAAGACGAGGAATGACAAAGTAAGTGCAGCATTCCTGCAGTTGAAGAACATACGGAACTTAAAACAACTGTCAACCAACACCAAAGTCAGAATCTTCAATACGAACGTCAAGACAATCCTACTGTAAGGAGCTAAAACTTGAAGAACTACTGCAGTCATCACCAAAAAAGTATGAATATTTATAAACAATTTTCTACGCAAGATACTGAATGTCCGCTGATTGGACACCATCAGCAACGGTCTACAGTGGCAGAGAACAAATTAGCATCCAGCTGAAGAGGAAATTAGGAGACGTTGAAGGTTGATAGGGCACACACCGAGGAAAACACCGAACCGCATCACAAGGCAAGCTCCCAAATGCCCTGGTACGACCGAGTGGGGAGAGACCTATTTCCCTCTCAAAATGCTCTCACATGGCCATGTGCATACAACCACTGTCAGGGATGTCCTAATAACTATCTTCTCGCGACATTACTGTTCCTTACGAAACTGAGAGAACGAAAAGCGAATGTCCGGTGCTTTAACCGGATTGGTGGATATAGAGGACCCACTAGGGAAGTTAGAAAACCCTGATTCTGAACAATGGTGTACATGGGCTCCAGGACCCGGAGGGAAGAAATGGAGTATTAAACTACTGTCGGTGACTGGCTACCATGTGACGGCTTCTCTTGACGTTGCTCCACTGTCTCGTTGATTAGACTTTTAGGTCGGAGGCTCTGGGTGTGGCTCTCTAGGAGAACCAACTGCTTCGGTCTGCGCACCCAGGCAGTATAACCAGTCACACACTAATCAAGTGACTTGTGTTGCACATGTATATCCGGTGCCCCTTTTGTACCAATATTTGTGTTTAAATAAACAAATAATGCAGGGCAAGGGATAACTAGGAGTCGTGAGCGGGAACGTAAGAGGAAGGCCGAAGAACATTTCGCGCCGACAATTGGGAATGGACATCGAAATAACGAATAACGACTTAAAACAACTCGAAAGGACTAACCAGGAAACAGTTCGATGGACAATGCTGGTGGGCTGCCTGTGCTCCTCCACAAGGGGTAACAGGCACAAGTAAATATAACACGAAAGAGCCACTATGAATCTTGATACAAAGCCAAATATGGACCGAAATTTATTACAAAATACTTCAATGAAAAAGGCACTAATAATGAATCCACGTATTTAGAAGAACTTACTATCCTGTTAGTAAGCCAGTCTTCAATGTCGAAATTAAGTTCACCGCCCAAGTCACTTGTCAAATGTTGTTGATCTATGAAAGGAAGCAATTCTTCAGTTTTGTCGACGAAAATTAACGGAATTTTACAGCCATCACGAATTGAGTTTATTGTTTTCTCCAAGAAAAAACCTTGCATAAAACCTTGAGGTTTGATAATAAATATTTGATGTAAGTTTCCTGGGAACTTTTCCTAAATATTTCAGTGAGGAAAACTCGGACAATTACTAACATTCAGCCTGGCAACAATCGACTTGACAACTGTCCAATTACCAGTACGCCTATCAATAACGACAGTAAACTCCTGAACACATGTTAGCATTCTGCTTTTTTGAGGGATAATTACGAGAAGCAACTTACGTTGATAATGAAGAAAAATACTGCATAAGAAAAATGTATGAATCATCACCTAATCCATCTAGACCGCGATCTTGGAAAATTATAAGGGAGCGGAATTCCTTATCATGGCCACCTATGATTAAAGAAAATACTAGGAACAACATGATCTTACCTGTGAATATAGCGTACCTCCTTAGGAGTACGTCCTTTATATCTTTAGCTAAAATCGGTGAATGTCGGTTGCTTGAAATCGAATGGTTGTCTGTCATCTCTGGATTTTCCTTTAACTTAAATTACTTCAAGGTGCCACAAAATAATTTCTGTAAATTTACGAGAGAACGATAGAAAATCTAACATATTAAGTCAGCCTACTAGAAAGTCTAATTTAAGAGTAAGAGCAAAAGGTTGGAGGATATACATAAGAATAAGTCCTTGAAAACTGTTAGAGCGACATCTGTCTGGGCATCCTAATAATAAAGTTTTAGAACGAGGAGTAGGAAGGGCAAAAATACGAGCTATTCTTTTTAACATTTTGTTAGTAAACTCAAAAAGTCAATTATATATAGACCCTAAAAGCCAGTCACATAGTAAATTTATTTATTTCATAAACTTTCACGACCTAAGTGATAAACTAAACAATTCCAACTGTAATTTGTGATAATCGAGTCATATTCGGATGCTTTTTCTTACATATTATCATCAAACCATCTAACGAAAAAATTTATTTTCAACAGTCTAGAATTTAGAGCTACATACGCCCGTTCATGTATATAGACATACCGTCTCTCTCCATAATTTAAAAACTCTTCTTGAAGTAACGACACATTTAAGGATACCGCCCCGAAACCTCAGAATGCTAGAATTCAAAACATACAATATTTCTAAAAGCTCGTATTCACCGAATGATTTTTTATTATTCACTTCTTGCTGTTTTGGTACGATTTTACGATTTTGGTAGCGTTCAATGCGTGGCAGTCTAGACACTCGAATTAACTGCTCCAGCCAGTTTGGTAGTTATTCGTAGATTTGTAGATTTTGTAATTCAAGTAAGTTCATTTGCCTTAGGGCAGTAGGGTTTCCGGATAGCGGCATCTATAACATTTATAATCAGGAGGTACTTTGCAATGTAATGAACAATAAGGTGATAATTCGAGTGTTAAGAGATAATTGTTTCAAGTAATAAATAAAAGTTTATAAGTTGGCAATCCAGATAGTGTGGGAAGATCGAAGTCAAAGAATGGAAGTGAAAGCAGAGGTGATATTAAGAGAGATACAGAGGTGTTACTGGCATGTCATAATGGTAACAGTAGGTAAATTACGAGACGTTGGTCATGTAAAGCTGGTTCACACAGAAGATTGTATTACATGGATGATAAAGTGTTAACCAAATGTTCTCTTGAAGCTATCTACTAGGAGGGCTGTACTTACTCCTTCTTGGAAAGCATCCAAAACGAGTTGAAATCTTAACGAGTAAAATGGATTAGTAGGGTGTTTGCTCGTCCATATGTGATTTTTCAGGAGCTGCCTTGAGAAGCATGTTGTTGATTTTCAGTCAAAATACATGTTTTAGGGTAAATTAGTGTACTTAGTATGTTGTGCGCCATTATTGTTCTCTTGTAGCTCAGAGAGAAATAGTCTCAAGTGTTGGAATCTGACTTTGTAAGATATATGTTTTTGCCCCACTACCCACTTAGTTGCTCGCCTCTCTACTTAGCCCAAAAGATATCTGTCACCCTTGGAAAAGGTGGATGCGCCAGCACTCTGAACTTCAAGATGGGAGCACTTGTATGCTTTCAAAGGAATTAGGAACAGTTTGGCGGTGATTGCTCCAAGTTGTCTTCCTCTAACGTGAGGTGTTGCGTTCGTCTTGAATGCATCCCTTGTGAAGTTTCAACAGATGTCAGGGCTCTTGTGGTTATTAGCTCCACAGAACTGAACACTTTTCTTTGCACTTGAATTCTGCAGTAAGAATTCGGTGATATTTGTAAATAATTCAAACTACTTAAAAAATAATCTGTGACGACAAATGCAAGGTACTTAACTAGGAATGAACCACAGTGGTCTGCCAGACCTCTGGCAAAATGGTCCATTAAGTCCATTTTGAAGGATGACATACTTCAAAACTAGTTGCTCAGAGACTTATGTCGTCACTTATCTCCCGTCAACAACACGTGAACCTGACCGAAGTTTGCAGTTTTTCAACACCTTAACTTCCACTAAGAAATCCCTTATGGGTAGGAAGAATAGAAAACGATCATTTAAATACAAAATACCATAGGGCGTAGTGAATGATTCATTCCGTTTGACAAATCAGTCAGGAACTTCGCGTTTCAGATCCCAGTTTTCTCATTTTACACTAAGCATACATCAAAAGTATCGACGAGTCTCTGTAATGAGATAATAATAATTTATTATCAAATAATTGTCTTTTACGTGAGGCGTGTCAGTTTACAGGCACGATCAAATCGTTATGCATGGACTCTCGGTAAAGCCTGGACCACTAAATAATGTGAGGCATAAACAAGTTTATAGTGCAACGACTATCGAATTATGAAGTCAACACGTAAAATTGGTATGGCACCTCTGTGCTGAACAATATGGTCATAAACATCAGAAGAAATACTTCGTCGCTGAACTACCACAGCTGACGAAAGTGCCATAGATTTTTCATAACGATAAATTAACTGAAATGCCTCATAAACTATAACGAAATTGAATTTTTATCCACATAAATGATTTTGAAGCAGTCTGACAATCCTGAGTACAGCTATTGCTTTCCTCTGAGTTTGTGAATAACCTTATTCAGCTAAAGTAAGCATGCGTGAGACAGATTACTCGTTTATCTACTTGCTCAAAAACTGCATCAATACTCTTAGCAGGTGTATCAGCAATGAGTATAGGGTGTACAATAAAATGTAACTTCGAAGAACGCAATCACAATGAACAAACTTCACACTTCGTAAACAAGACTCCTTTTCCTAGTCCCATTTAAATGCTCTAGATGTCAACGATTGAAATAGGTTGCCACAGTGGAAAATTCATGTTTGAAGCCAAAAATGAAATACAGGATAATTGACCATTCTCAAATCTGAAATCTGAGCTAATGGATGAATAATGGCACAGAGATCCACTCGTTCACTAATTACAGCCCTTTAGGATGGCAGATTACGTCACTCATCACTTCCCGAAATGTGGTAGAAGGTAAAATAAATTAAATGTAAGGAGCTGTATTTGAATATTCCAAAACAAGTGCCGATCGTTCCCAGAACTAATGAAGATTGATGTAGAGGAATAATAATGGTAATAATATATTCTCAAACAACAACAAGCTAAATGAACCATGTTATTTCAAAGGTGAGATTAAATTGTTACAAATGCAACAGAGTTTACTGTAATGAGTTAGACACTTAGGCTAATATGCCATAAAACCCACTGGTCATAGAAACACTGGAACAGACTTTTGTATATCACTTTGTGCTTCTTAATACTGTTCCCCGATAAATAACGGAGGTATTTTCGAGGGTTCGTGACGACGTCATGTGCTCCATATGTTTTTGGTGGTACATTACGAGGGTGCTGAAAAAGAGAGAGAAAATTAAAAGGGTGGGATGCAGAGCGCCCTTTTTTATAGCATAACTTTTGTAGTTGTGCGTACACTTCTATTAAGCGTAATTATTCAGTTTCATTGTAATCCAAAGGCATATTTTAATAGCCTTTGCGCTTCGACGACTTCAGCGTCGAACTGTTATCACCACATACTCTAGAAGTCTTTCCATCAAACTTCAAAGCGTAGCAACAAGAACAAACCACTCTAAAGACTAAACTGGTTCAGTAAATTTTTCCTTTTGCAAGATCATATGTGCTCTATGCACTGTTTTTGAAAGATCATAAGGGATTGCCCGTCTTTTAGGAAAGACGAAAGAAATTCTGCGAGCTCAATTTTCATTCTTTACTGCACTTAGCGCATTCATCTGCCAAATATCTAACTAAAACATCGAAATTTTCCATAAAAGTCAATAAAGATGATTGTCACTTTCGGATTTTTCAAACTTTTGAACTTATTATTAACGGTCACGTTTCACCTAATCCAAGCTTACATGGTATGATGAACTGTCATCTTTAAAATGCAATTTGAAATATCCTCGTATAGGCAGTTCGTTTCCATTAATTCAAAATCTTTTTACTTCAAAAGTTCACTTTAGAACATCAAAATATGAAAACTTCAAGTTTTTGAGTGAAATAATGGATTCAGTTTTGGTGCTTGTATGAACCAACGATTCCTTTGTACTTGTTGAATGCTTGACTTCGCATTCCAAAAACAGTACATTCGCTCGTGCTTACCTAATATTTCTTGATCCAAATGGTTTATATATGGGATTACTAGTTTGTTCTAATTCTAATTATCATTATTGGTGTCGCGATAGAGCCTGCGACAGAAAAGTTAGATGTTCACTTAACTTCTAAAGATTTTGAGGATCATTTGGAAAGATTTAAAATCTGGAGCATGATCAAGAAAGATATAAGAGTGATAAAGTCGTGGCACATTTCCTCACATTCATTAGGAAAAACGAATATAGCTTATTAAAAACTTTGACAAATGGAAAAGCCTATCCCACTTCTCTATGCAACTCTTAATGAACTATTATTAAATTATGTAAAGTACACTAGTTTCGTATGTCGTTAGAGAGCAAAATTTCATAAAATGATCCGTCAGAATGACCGAAAGGTTAGGGAACTCATCTTTGAATTGCAGAGTTAAGCTGTCAAATGTAATTTCGATGATCAACTTCATGTGCAACTGAGGTACCGGTTAATTGCACACACCGGATCTGGAAAGATAGCGGTAAGAATGCCAAACTGTTCCTTTCAAGATGCTAGAATTGCATGTATTATTTACGAGGCAGTGAATGAACTTGATTTCCAGTCGACGAAAATTTCTAATACTTTACTTAGTCGTCATGATGAAATACAATCTCAGGGTCAATCAAACTTGCGTTCGTTTAATAGTGATTCCTATCCTCGTGTTAATATGAAGGGTGTTTCAACAAAAAATTGCAAAGCAAACCAAAGGGGTGAGATCAAGTGTGGTAAATGTTTATCCAGTGGCAAATTTCATTCTCGTAATTCATGTGCATTTCGTTATGCTAAATATTTTAAATGTGTTAAGATAGGTCACATCCAGTCGGTATGCAAAGCTACTGTTCATTTCGCCTCAAGTAGTAGAAATTCTTTTAATTTCGATCCCAATAATTCGACTGTTTCTAGTGTTCACTTATCTTTATCCACCATTTCCAAATGTGATGCTCATATTCAAAAGCGACTATATACATCCCTTAGTTCATTTCATGATTTTATTGTGGACACAGGCAGTATAGATTTCATTATTTCACCCAAGAATTTGAAATATTTAAATCTTAACGTTGTGGTACGACCCACTGAAGTCTCAGTGTTGGAGATTACTGGACACAGACTGATCATACGAGGATTTTGTGAATTGCTAATGAAAGATGATAATTCTGCATACAAATAATAATAAAAATAACGATAATTTATTCTCAAATAACAGTTTGTCACATGAGGCATGTCAGTTTACAGTCAAGGTCAAATTGTTACAAGTGATACAATTTTCACCGCGGTAAATTACTCAGCTGTGTTGATATTTCACAAGATATGAATTTTGATGGTTTCAATCAGTATCGCAGTTGGCGCGCTTTGTGAAGGTTGCGTTGCCACATGCGACTGATGGACGAGAATAGATCCACATGAAATGGGGGGCTTCTAAACACCACAACC